GTCTGCTGCTATCAAATTCCTTGTGCTCACTTTTCTTTCCATTTCAGAGGTGGTCTCAAGACACACATARCAAGAAAAATTGATTTTGTAGTTTTCAGCTGACTTACATCCTAATTCAGATGGCCATAAAGCATTCTGTTGAGACCTTGTGTGTTCAGCTCARTGTAAAAGTGTTGTTTGAATAAGAATGGACTTCTGAAATAGGAAGATTGCATGTTGTTATTTAATCCTCACATACTTTATTGAATGTTTTCTGAAGTACACAATTCCAGATGCACTTTGTTGGTTTTTTTTTTTTTTTGGAACTGGGTAATCTTTAAAGTTCCTTCCAACTCAAGCCATTCTTGTGGATGTTTTTTTAACAAGTTCTAATGCTGGTTTTTTAATGAAATCAACAATGTATTTCACTGCATTTTTTTTATTTGCTCCTAGTTTAACCTTATGGATATTGCTTAGAAAAACAAGCCAAAATCAAGTTTTTGCAGTATTATCACAGCAGCTTGAGACATTTTTATTCAAGGTTCAGTTTTCTCTTAGTCTGTTTATTTAKAGACACTGAATAATGTATGTTACACTCTTAGAGGATAAAAGGTATTTTAGGCAGAAGACCCGGTGCAAACCCTACAGTTATCAATCAGATCACATGTGATTTGAAATCTGTTTAAAGCAGGCAAGTATTTCAGAGAMTATTCAAATGGCATGTGTACACTGTACATTGTACAGAGCTCAGGTTATATAATTACTAATAAATCACATGCAGAATAAAAGCAGCAGCCCCATAGTTCCCCACATCACAGTGGATAAGTTGTCTTCATAAAGCTGSTGAAGTTTGAGGAAAGGCTCTATGAGTTATGCACTTTGTCAGCAGCAGTAAGTGTAGTAGGTGCAGTAGCTCATGAACAGGCCTGYCTGGTGTTCATGAGACAGTGAGAGGAATCCAGTTCAATTGTTAATGGCTGCTGTGCTTTGCATACCCTGCTTCCTTCATTACAGCTTGGCGAACTCATTCCCTCTGCTGTACCTTAGTCCTCTGTGTCTGCATATGTTTGGGTTTCTGCTGGTGGTTCCACATATTGCATGCTTTCCTCAAAGTGGAGCAATGTGCTTTCCCATAAATGCTAAARGTTATGGGTCGGCCTCCTACAGTCTCTGTGTTCCTGAGAAATGGGCTCTTTCTGTTGGTGGTAACTCATGTTTTGATGTCATTGTTCTGGATTGTTCTTCATGTTTTAATATTGAGTTAAAATGTACTCCCGTAAGAGTTAGCTTTTCATATTGGGCTGGAAACTCTTCATCTTTGTCTAGCAATTTGTTTTATTATAACCAATGGCTTTTAATTGTACCTCCCATAATGAAGAGCTGACTTAATACTCTGTGCTAATCTTGTTATGACTTTTAAAAGGTAAGTAATTTCTCTAACAATTCCTAACAGTCATGGTAAAGTGATAAAGGGTTTCTCAGTTTTCTTTTTTTGTTWTTTTTCACATGAATTTTTCACTTGTAGCATGAACTTTTCTTGTGTCTTTTTCTATTTTTCTTATAAAAAAWTTTTTAGACTGATTTTTATTTGCAGCAAAACATATGTAAATTTAAGTAAATCAAATTTAGTACAGTCATTGATTTTGTTTTTCAGACCAATCATGAGTGATAGAAGTTGTCAGCAGGACTCCTTATTTTTACCATTCACTTTCTTTGTTTCTGAGTACTTTATTTCACATTCTATTTACTGCTTCAGCCTGTGGGAGAAAGCTTACTCTGCATTACAGCATGGTGAAGTTACATCTTCAAGAACATAAAATCCAGTTTGTTTAAAATACAGARTAATGTGAACTGAATGCTTTGGGTTTGGTTACATTCTGTCTGAACTATGCAGGGAATGGTACTGGCTGGTAGCCCAGTGTATCTTCTGCCAAGATATATTGTGAGCCAAGAGGCTGTAGAATGCACAAACAATAAATCTATATTTTCCCTGTGAAAGAAAAGATAGCCATAAGTTGTTATTTTGTAGCTACCTAYGAATGAGAAGAATTATAGTAAATATGCTAATAATAACCCTCCCCAGTTAGTCATGGTACTATATGCAATGTAGTATGGATTCTTCAGTTAACAATAGCTGTGAAAAGAATRCAGATTTTCTGTAAATGTAACAAATAACAAAGTAGTAATAATTAATATGATAAAAGGCACTTAAAGCACATGACCCCATTTATAAAAAGCTCAATTGCTGCCAAAACTGTATCTGTTAGAAAACTGGTGGGTTTAATTTAAAATCATTTTACTGGAATTTTGATTTAAAAAAAAAAATTAGGAAAAAATGTGCAATTCATATTAAACAGAAGTATTATATAATGACTAATTTTGATGTCAGTTATGTTAAAACATGGTTTGTGTTCTGCAGCTGTGAGCATAGGTTGGGAAACGATCAAGTCTAGCTGATCAAGCCTTTTATTTTATTATCATGGATTCCTCTTCCACAGCTGCTTTTAAAATTTGTGGGAAGCAAATTATTTCTCATACTGCATATGTTGCCCATCAGGTGAGTGATAACATGGAAACTTTAGGCTGGGTGTAAGAAATAAAAAAGTAAATATAAAGTCCTCTGTGTGCACAGAATTAAAAATTGACCTGTAAGAGGCTGTATGTGAAGCCAGCTGTCTTTTGTTACCATTGTCATTTGGACATTTTAAGAGCAAAACTTTGTCAGCACGTTTTTAATATTAGAAGATTTGATCTGCAAATCTCAGCTGCTCTGTTCATTATAAATCTCTTGTTTTTGTCCATACACTAGCTCCACTATAGGTTGGAAGGGCTTAAAGATGAACTGAGGAGGAATAGAGGCTACAACTCGAGAGTAACTATTACTGCTCAAAGGAGCTGTTTTCCATTCGCAAACATTGCTTTGCGCTATGGGTTTGGGCTCCTTCTGTTCCTCCACTTTGTTGAAAGACTCTCTCTTGACTTCCATTTTACTTCTTTAGCACTGTCTTTGTCTGCTAACATTTTTCCTCCTTCTCTAGTAGCTTTTATCTGTGTCCTTTGGATCACATATTTTACTTAGTTTGTTTTAGTAGATCGTTTCAAATGTTGTGTTTTGTATTTTTGGTTTTTTGCCTTTTTCTTTAGGACTATGTTATCTCACTGAGTTTCATTCCACAGTTTGCTGAATCGCTTGGTTATTTTGCAGCAGGTCCATTCCTCATTTTCTCTTTTCATGTTTTTCAGTGAGAAATTAGAGAGCCTCTTCCATTTTAAACAGTAGTCTTACACACATAGGCCCATGCCTCCTTTTGCATACACCATCTTCTGCCTTGCCACATCCATCCTGCTTCTCTCTCCCTCTCTCAAGCTGTGCTTCTCTTTATTTTGTGTTTTCTTTCCTACCATTACACCACCTTTTTGGTCCAGAATTGTCYTTTGATAAATTATAGGTAAATATTTACTTCTTCTAAAGAGAGTTGATGTTATGCCTTTGAAATCTGGTAAAACAACTCTGGGCCAAATTTGGGCATCATTAATATTTTGTTTGCAGTTTTCTTGTATAGTACTTTTGGTGGGAAGGGAGGAGGGTGTGGGGTTTTTCTGTTTGTTTTTGTTAAACAAGAGTTTTTTTCAGGGAAGGACACCATAACCCACTCTAAGTTGCAACATTACTTTTCATAAGTTATTCCATTACAATAAGTAGACTGTGTTGCGCTGTAGAATCAAATTTTTTATGTRAATATCTATTTGGGGCAAGCTGCTGTGGAACAGAAGAAAGAGGTTTAGAAGCTGGGACACAGTTTGTTTCAGCCTTAAATGGTTTTTCCTTTCTGAAGACAGCTTTTGAGGGGTTGGGCATTTACCATTCTTCATCAGTTTTTAGATTCATACATATTCACTTTCTAGGCATTTTTTCTCTAACTGCAAGTTCAAAATGAGGTCTGTAAGATAATCTGGATTCACTCCTTTGCTTTTTCAGCAGAGACAAATCTGCTGGGAAATTACACCCTCAGCATGACCTGTGCTATTCCAGTTCTTTCACTATATGTGCACAGTTTTGCTTTATTAATATTCTCATTGAAATTTAAAAAACCTTTGTCAATAACTATAAAAGGGAAGGATTCGTTCTTACTATCTCAGAGATTTGTTTTCCCATKAAGTTTACTTTAGCTTGAGTTTTGTCTTTTGTCCACACAAAATGCTTTTTATTCAAGTGCTGCCAGTTCAGTCAGCTGGACTGACAGTAGTCCATCTAAAAACTTGCAGCTTCAGGGTTATTATACATTGTGCTACTTTTCCAAATGTGAGAAGAATTAACAAGAATCCATGCTTCACTATAGATAAAATTTAAACTGTGTTGTGTTTGCAGGACTGATACTCTTAAAAAATACATTTTTTTTTAAATCCACAGGGTAAACAGATAGAACTGTAAATATTTAGTGTTACTAGAATACTAGAATATTGTGAATTGTCCAGTTTCCCCATAGTCAGACAAATCCATCTGGAATAGCACAATGGCAGCTAAGCATCAAGGAATTCTTATTAAACATCTTCAGAATCSAAACAATTGAAACTGAATATTTGTGACTCTCTATAATAACTGAAAATACCAACAGTAGAATTTTAAATCACTTTATATAGTTATCTTAGTATTCTGTCTAATCATCAAACCTAGATTCAGAGCTGCTATAATTACAACTGTATAAGAAAATGTGTATTTTCTGTTGAAGACTGAAGCTTAGCACATAATCTTAAGTACCGTTCTTTGATTTTTCTCTCTTACTGTCCTTAGGCCATCTTGTTTCTTATGGGAGGGGTGTGGAATCAAATTGCTCGTATCAGATTCTGACCAKCAGCTACTACCCTTCTGCTTAAATATACTTATCTCATGCAAAGTATGTAAGAATGTTGCTGAAAGTATGTATAGCCTCTGTCTTAGATCCCAGGAGCTTGCCCAATTTGTCTCTGTATTTTGCATCCTTGTTAGCTTCTGTAGCTCATAGACTGTGCTCTCTCTGCAGGTCCAGTCTAGGTGCAGCAGCAAGGAGAACATCCTCAGAGCAAGTAAGTACAAAAACTTCCTACCTCTATTGAGAAACTAAGACTGCTCAGAAGAGAGCAAGTGATAGATCAGAGGTGGGGCTAAGTGGGTTTGCAGAAGAAATTTAATAATTTAAGACAGTGAAATCCTGTTCAAAGGTAAAACTGTAAATGGCTCATAGTGTTCCTGTATTAATGGAAAGTTGCCTTTTAATTTATTCTTTCAAGTTGTTTTTCTAATGACATAGAGGTCTGTTGTTTGTGGTGCTGTTTTGTTGTAAAGAATATGTGTGTGCAGGTTTTATGGGCAAGAATTAACACTCAGAGACAATGAAAATGGAAATTCTCAACTCAAATATATATGATTTTTATTTTCATACTTGAACATGAATTTGAATGTTGTGTTACATAGAACCAAACCAAAAAATGAAAAGGTTAAGAATTTACATTTGATCCAAATGATGTATTGTTTCATTTGCATAATTCTTTTTCTTTGTGTTGTGGGAATCTTTTCTGGTCTAAAATTTGATCCACCATATGTGTGTGTGTGTGTATATATATATATATATATATGTATAATGACAGGAATAGGAAGTTGTGTTGGTGATAAAAGAGAAGATTGTCAAGAATTTTCTACCTTATGCAACTAATTGAATTAGCTGCTTCAAAGCTAGAGGATTATTTTGTTGTACAAAATACAGCTTAATGTAAGTAGTTATTTTTAGAGCTATCTGACATTTCACATTCGCGAAATATAACTTGGTAAAGCTGAGGGTTTTTTAATGTCATTTGCTTGTAATTAAAGTAATTACAAGTTTAGTAATTTTAGAATTTAAAAAAATCATTTGTTTGTCTCTGGGTCTGTTTACGTRTGTGATACCTTTAATAGACAAGTTGCCATTTGTAGGAAGAAGTAGGAGAGAAAAAGGTTAGTACTTACACCAGCATCTGTCTTCCTTTCTTCATTAAGTTTATTCATGTTAGTGTTAAACCTAAAGAGGCTCTATTTTCTTGGCTTTTCTTGCAGAAATAATGGGTGTTACTTTTGATGTYGGAAAAAAGAATTCAGATATTAGGAAATTTTATCTATTTTCAAAAAAAATCTGTGTTGGCGAATGCATTTTTCAGAAGATTTTAACAGAACCCTTGGCTTAAGCAAATCGCATGCACTAGGGACAGACTTGCAAATTTGAAGGTTTTTCTCTGGGGACCATTGAAAGCATTCAAAACCTGTGAATTCAATCACTTTTTAAGGGTTAAAGAGGTGAAATGCTAGTTTCTGAATGAGCTAACGGTGAGTTTTAAGTAGCAGTAAACCATAAAAGTACCTAGTGGCTGTAGCATAAAGGTTGTTCACTGCCGCACAATTCCCTCAGCTTTCATTGCTGTGACTTATTTTTTTCTTAGCATTTTCCTTCATATTTTCTAATTAAAAACAAAATATCAGGAAAATGTTTTTATCRTGTATTGTGGAATCTGTTGGACCTACAGGAATTACTGTGCTGCTAAGACATGGTTTCTTTCTCTAGGGAGAGGCGAATGTGGGAAGTTTGACTGTGTTTCACACATGCTTTCCTTTTCTAGTTTAATGATGTTGTTAGCAAAAAAAAGAGGCATAATAGCTGAAAGTGGAAGCTGGCTACGGAGTTCCCTGTTATTAAAACCAGAAATGCAGTTTTTCCATTAGTTACACTTTTATCTTACAATAGTTTAATTTGGATCATTTCTCCCTAGTTTGCTTATGAGAAAGTTATGTTTAAGAGTGTGCGAAGTCTTAATATAGTTAGAAGATGTCTCATCAGCTGTTTCTCTCTTCCTCCAAATGCTAACTGGTGTCTTAAGGAAAGGAATTAAGTAAATTAAAAATTATTTGTGCCTGACAAATTCACAGTGCTGCTTTTATCATCATGCTATCTTTTAAATACGCACAAAGAAATTGTTTAAATGATTTCTTCCAGGATCATTTCTGGAAGAATTAGGTGGACAGTTTTACTTCCCTCTACTTCTTCTTCTGCAAGATAATTACTGTGTTAATAGCAAAAAATAATTAGCGAACAGTCTCTCACATAAGAGGCAAGCATGTGTTAGTGCTGAACAAGTATATACAAATTAATTGAGAACCCTTCTCTTCAAAAGAAAGACTTAGATTGTGTGATGGTCATGCTATTTTTAACTTATTTTTTCTTACAAGACTACTCTTAAGGCAATTTTTTTTTCCAGAATCTGAAGGCATGTGCAGCAACAAATGGGGTAGTGACTGCAAAACAAAATCATGTCATTAAAAAATAGTTTCTATTATTTGTTAATGCTTTCTGTATTGTAATTTATGTTACTTCAGGAATATCATTACATATCACATACAGAACATCATCCACTCTGGCTTTCATAAATACCTTCTTGTTCTAGGTAAATCCTTTCAAGATATTCTGCAATTGTAATTGTCTTTATCTTTTGGTTTGTATCTGTTACTCTTGTTTATGTATTCCTGGAATAGTTCTCTCTTCAGTTGCTTATCTTCACTCTTAAAATCCTCCAAAACTTATTGTCCCCTTGTTTAATCTCTCAGTAAGTATCATGAAATCAAATGCACTGTTGGCTTCATTTTCAAACAACTTCTGTCATATCTTCTTGCTACATGTCCCATGTACTTGGGAAAAGTAAGCTTTCCTGAAGTTGTCCTACTGCCTTCACTCTATACATTTAAACAACACTTTGCTATGGTGACGACAAAATCTGGGCAATGGGTAGGATGCCTACTAGCTGGAATCACTGCTGTCTTGACTGCCCAATGATTTCATTGTGCTGTCTCTATTTTTCTCTCAAACCTTTTGACTTCCATCTCACCTTTGGTCTGTAGGCTCACAGTCGCAATGTCCATTGTTACGCTTTATCTGTGCACTGCACATAGCATGTTGAGATGTTTRTGGAGAACAGAATGGAGTGAATTGGCCTGTGTTCATAGAACTGAATTAGTCTCAGATTATCATCCTCAGTGTAAAATRCTTCATCACCTTGAAGGGTTTCTGTTTTGGATTAACCAATCTTTTCACACTCATCTAGATTTCTGGTATGTTTTTCATTATAAATAAGGATGAATATACACTCTCTTGAGTCTAGTTGAATACAGTGTCTTCCTATTGTCTGACATGAAAGCTCAGTAGTGATAACTAACCAATTTAATTTGCTMCAAAGTGCCAGATTAATTTCAGTGAAATGGTTTAAATGGACCTCACAACATGGATCTGCTCCTTGTAGCACACATAAACTTGGTTCTTTTTCACTGCAGGTCACAGTGCTGTTGACATTACCAAGGTAGCAAGAAGACATCGCATGTCTCCATTCCCATTGACATCTATGGACAAGGCCTTCATCACAGTTCTGGAGATGACCCCAGTGCTTGGAACAGAAATCATCAATTACAGAGGTATTTGAAGTTGGATTCTTTGTGAGCAGGAGGGTGATTACTTCCCTATTTGGCAAYCTTCTTGGTGTCTGAAACAGTGCTTTTTCCAGGAGAAACTGCTTTAGGAAATACCAATAGTAGGGGAAATCTTTCAAGATTAGGTGAATGTCAACTGAACTCAGTGCTGTTCCCTGAAGGAGTCTGTAATGGAACTTTAATAAAATATGTGAATTATTCTCTTTTGGTTGTATTACATGTAGCAAACATTAAACTCAACCTGAATGTGCCTCAGTGGGTAACATGGACTTTTATGGATGCCAATTAGCTCTAGGCTGTATTGTGATCAGTTCACTCTGTTCTCCTACTATGGGAGATTGTCACTAAGCCCCTTTCCATTCTAAGGTTAATGATCAAAGCAAAGGGACTGTTGATTCCAGGTCACTTTTTTTCCATGTCTGTATCTTTAACAGTTAATCTCTGCCTGTTCTTCCAGTTTCTAGTTAGCCTACTAGTCATCCTAGAATATTCCTCTTCTCCTCATAAACAYAATTCCTTTTCTATTCTGCACTGAATGTGATAATTTTCTGCTACTTGCTTCCTTTTAATGTTTGATCTATCAAAACTTTGTAATTAAAGAGTAACTGGTTTTGATTTATACAGTGAGTTTGTCCTCAAAAGCACCGAACAGCAAGCAAAATATCAGACTTTGTGACTTTGTAACTGCATCTATTCTCATGAATAAGTAGGGGTAGATGAAGTGATTTTCTGGACCTAAAAGGAATTAGCAGGGCACCTCTTAAGTTTATTCAGCTAAACTATCCTCCTTCCTGATATACTGTGTTCATAACGCTGGTTAAGTGCCTTGCTTCTGCTAGGCATTATCTGGGAGAATGTTCTTGGCACATTACAAAAACATGACAGGAAATATGCTGGCAAGTAAATCTGAAGTGGGAAGGGAAGCAGAAACCTTCTCCACATCTTCAAAAAGTAATGTGGTGAGCAAAGAGGTTGTGGAACTATAAACCTCAAGAGGCAAAAACGTTTAAGACATAGGCTACAGCCTATGCTAGCAGAGTTTAAGACCTACAGCCAGCAGAGAGCTACAGAAGGTTTCTGAATGGCATGTTTTGTCTTCTGGCTCGAAAGTTCAGTTTTCATATTCTTTGCCAAATCTTTGTGCTACCACAAGCCTTCAAGATGTCTTTATATTGGAATACTGATTTAGCAGATGCTRTGTAGTACCACACSTGTGCATTTAGTCGCTCCAGGCAGRGTTCAGTGCTCCCCTGTGCCTTGGCAGCAGGATTTCAGAAAAGGTGCTCCATATCCTGCATTCAGAAAGGCACCAATGCTGGATCACCAAGGARTATGCACCCGGCACTTTTTTAATGGTGTGCAGATTGGAAGAAAGCATTAAGGCGTAACTGCCTGAGCATAACTATTGTGCCTTTTTGGACAGCTGTCAGTCAAATGTCTTTGCTAAAACAGCCCTTTGTGAACAATATGAGGATCTGCAGTGTTGGGTACATTTAGTCCAAATAAATGCTATGTATGCAGCACTGAACTCCTGAAATAAAGGATGAAAGACTGGCATCTGCCTCCCTGAAAAATAAGTGCATCATATATTTATTTTGGTATCAAAGTAACAGTCAGACACTGTTAAGGTACTGTTGGATTGTTATTCATTTTTTCATAAAAGAAGTTTTGATTCAGGACATATGTATTTTGTCCAGGACATATGTATTGTTATTCCTGGCACTCTTATTCTTTCAAAAATAATGAACTCAGTCTGCTGAGTCACTTCAGTTTTGACCCTCTTCCTTTTCACCCAAAACACAAGCGTCAGAGTGATGGTAACAATAGCTTCAGAGATAGATTCTTGATTTAATGTTCACATAATTGTACCAACAATTTCTTCGTATTTTTACACTGTAGCATGAAATTGTGTTGCAATTTATTTTTCAAGTAGTATACACTTATTTTTGCACTACAAGATTTCCAAGTATATAGTATGAAATTTCAGGGTTGAACCTTTAAGAGACACATTCCTAAAGAGACATATAATCCTAAAGGACACATTCATGTCTGTGATACTGCAAATTCAATTCTCTTAATCTACAGATACAAATCTCAAGATGAAAATTAATTTTCAGAAGTTCTTAAGTGATCACAACAATATTATACACACAAGTACATAGAATTGTTTTGTATTGGCATATGTGTGTGTATGTGTATGTGTGCACATGCACACATATATATGTGTTTGATAAAAGATGTCAATTTTGAAAAAAAGCAGTCAATGAAGAACCAGTTTTTCATTTAGTTATGGGTTCATTTATTTTTCTGCTCATATACATCTAATTTCAGAAAATAAAAATGTAGTTCTCTAGATCTGAAACTGTATTCAGAAAAGTGATATTGTGTTGTGTTTATTTTCTTTGTGATTTTGTGTCTTGAATTAATATTGAGCTTCTGAAAACTATCTTTCAGGAGCACAGTTTCTCCCCAAGGAAAGTGAAATGTAAAATTCGGGAATGGTAATTGCCTAATTAATAACTAACCTGATTTAGTTACTCTGCTAAACATATTCCGTAGCATTCATCCTCATAAATAAAGCTGCTGAATGTTATGGTGTACAAATATCCAGTACAGTCCTAATTTTATTCTTGATTAAGTCAAGGTGTGCTGTAGTCTGTCAAATCTATATTTTCTCCTAACGTAAGGGAGAGGATTATTAAAATTATCTTTCAAAACATGACTGACATGCATGTAAGTGTGTTGCTTAGTGTCTGTATAGATGATTTAACCTCTTTCATATTTAAAAATAAATGGGCAGTTCTAAAGCGTTTTACAGAAGTGTCATAAACCAAAGGCATCTGAAGCGTATTTCCCACATGCCATCATCGATGTCTGATATGAAGCCCCCAATTAACCTTTTATTCCAACTAAATGCAGTTACCTGAACATAGCTCTGTGGGCACATAAGGTTAAGTTTTAGACAACGTGATTATGATTATTCTTCTGAAACTTAATAAGAGGCAGAAGTTTAATTGCTAATAAAATTATAATGCAGAAGCAATCTACGCTTTATGAGTTTAGGCCTGAGAACAGCACATTTACTGTGGTGATCGTTTTGATAGGATTGACTTTTCATATCATGCCRAAGTGCTACCAGAGCAATATTTACAGCATCCATCATCTCCTAGAACTAGATCTGTCTTATTGCTGTGCCCTAGAGAAATCAAAAAGTTCTTCATAATCAAAAATTATACCAGTTTCACCACCTAAGCTTAGCTAATACCTTCATGTGAAAAGTGAGTTTAATGTCATTCTCCATTTTGTGTTAAAAAGATATGGGCATCACAAGAGGCAGTTTGATAGCATTAAAATAATGCAGAACATCTTTCTGCATTACAATTAAGCAAAATAAGGTCAAACTGTATTTTTAGAATAATTTCTTAAATAAAAGAGAGTATAGATGTACTTCAGATTGTCCTCTGACTTGCTTCATTTAAAATGCCTAAGGCAGCTTCAGCAAATAATTCTTATATTTTTCTCCTTGTACTGAAACTCATTGCCATTAGTGGCTAGCCATTTATTCCTTTCAAATATTGCATGGCAGTATGCCAAGAACACACTGTTCAACTTTGCTCTAATTGGTGTCATTTTGCATGCAGACAAGAAGCAAAATGAAGGCACAACATGACTGCTAAATTTGGAAGTATCACTTTTGTATGAGATTTCATGCATCTATGAACAAAGGGTGTTTTTACTAGGCCTTTGATAGCTGCCTTTTCTATGCTATAATTTAAATGTCTGTGTCTTTTACTCAGTATAAGTGTACAAGCTTTTGTGAACTTTCTAATAACTTCTATATTGTGTATCACAGGCACTGACACGCAGGGTTGCACAGGGGAACTAATGGCCACTGCAAAAGTGCTTTTTTAGTTGCTTTAACTGATTTTAGCTGCATTTTCATTGGAATACTTATTTGAGCAATGCAGCATGAATATTACTTCAGGCTGAAAGTTAATACATATGGATGTGAGTACAATGATGTTATAGTTAGGATAATTAATTGCTAACTAAATCACTTCATGTTAATACATAAATATAATCTTCACTATAATACTGCTTCACTGGAGCTGAATGTTTTCAAATTGAGTAGGTGCACTTTTCAACAAAACTGTCCCATTTATTGTACAGCACTGGGTCTTCTGCCTTCCTGGTGAATCTAGAACCAGACTGATTTCCCTGTCTGTAAAATAAGAAACACACTTTATGCATGTCTCTCTTTTTTGGCATGCCTCATGATCTCTGAAGGAAGTATCCATGCAAATTCTCCTGGCAGAAATAATCAATCATCCTCTCAGTCCATCATACTTTCAGCTGGATATTGCCTTCCTGTGCTATTATGCACCCTAGGAGCAGTGGCCTCTATTATGAGCTGAGCTGCCCTTCTCCTGCTTAGACATTCTGGAATCCAGACATGCTGTCTCAGTAGTTCTGACCCGTGTCCCTTCCCCGTACCTCTAATCACACATGTAATGAATCTGCTTTCTCTCTCACACTGTATCAAGGGGTAAGTTACATATTTTCCATTCTGTTCCATATCATACTAAAAAAAAAAAGCTTTTGCTGGTGCCATAAAAGTACCAGCCACTTGACTGAGGGTGAAGTAAATCATATCAGTCTCTACAGGGAGGCTGAGCCAAATTACAGCTCATCAGTCATAGTTGCTAAGTGAGGAGAAAGAGTATGTTTGAAACAGCTATTAAAATATTTAGAACTATAACAGTGTAAATTTACATAAATAATCCTGACACTTATATGAACTCACCCTCCATTAAGCAGAAATGCTCTCAGCAATTAGGTGAAGCTGATCTATTGCCAAACTTCTTTGTCCCATTTGTGAAAACTTGTCTGTAGTTACCATTCTCAATTCATCACCTCTCACCTTTTGTGCACAGGATTGACTTTTGAAATGTCATTTTACATTTTTTGAAAAAATAAATTTAATAAAAATTCAAATAAGGAAAAATAAAGAAAATACCTATCTGTAAGAGATCTTAAGGGAAAAGCTTGTCCTGTAGAAACAAACACTTGTTTTTCTGTCTGATCCTRAGTCAGAGCTATCACCTTTGGGTTTGGATACTTGGCATTCAAATCTACTGCCAGCAATTCCACCATAACCGGGAGCAAAGCCTTGAAAAAATCATTTATCATTACTTTCAGACTCCAGTCTTTTTTCCTTTATGTAGAGTCAAAAATCAAAAGCCTGAGAGATCTGTATGTCCTATACACATACATTTCACCTACCAGAGCACACTGCTAACTTTGTTTCCCCCTTTCACTCACTGTAATGACACAGAGCATCATCTTTTCTCTTTTTTCTAGATGGAATGGGCCGAGTCCTTGCTCAAGATGTATATGCAAAAGATAATCTACCACCATTTCCAGCATCRGTAAAAGATGGTTATGCTGTCAGAGGTAAATACTCACTTTGTAGATATGAAGTATAGTGTCTGCTGCTTTTTAACCTGTTAATTCACATGGTTTGGATCCAGCAGGAGTTATTTTGGTTTTGGTTTGATTCTGATCATTGCTGAGGTAAATGCAACTGTGTGGAAGGAAGGCCATAAAGTGAAGTTCAGATCTGTTAAAAAGGTACATGTGTACATGAGCAAATGTGCATCCATAGTTGCTCCTAGATGTGCTCCTCTGTTGCTAGTGCATTTCTTRGAAACATTAAAAATTCAGGAGAATACCAGAACATCTGATTCTGAATTACACATTCATCTTCTATTCCTCTGTTGCAGATTTAATKAGGATTTTCTTATATATCTATTACTTCATTGAATTGTTGCAGATACTGATTGCATCAGAAGATTTTCAAAAAAACTTACCAGAATGTTCTCTAATGGAGATGCCTCAAAAGAAGTGAATCTTACTTTAAAAAATTTGCAGCTGCCATATATAAATAAAATTAGTTGTATGACTTTATTCATTGCAAGCATTGGATATGGTTTCCCAAGAGACCTGAATTCACACTCTGCTTTGCCATTAGTTGTTGGGTAATTTTATCCAGTTGCTTCTCTCTGCATCAGCTTTTCACTTTGTGAAGTAAGAGTAATGATGCTCACCTCATGTGTGTATGAAGGAAATTTAAAATATACAGAATTGAATATTATACTAGTAGTGATTTAGTTGTGGTAGTGGTTGAGTCATTGTAACACCATGTTGAAATTTGTACACAATAGCCAACTGTCTTCTAGGGGCATTAAAATACCTTTTTTGCTACTGACAGCTGAAACCATGGAAAGCACATAGATTGTCTGTAGACCCAGGCAATGGATGTAATCCAGTAGTTTCCCTATAGATTTGATATAAAAATAATTTCAGGTCTACAAGATGAGTGTGTGGTGAGAGACAGGGGGACCAAAATGACTAGTAAGAGCAGCAAGAGAGTGCATATGTAGCCAGGGCAACACAGGTAGTGTAACACTGAGGAAAGTAAGAGGGTGAACTCTTGAGTAGAATGCTGAGTGACAAGGGCCTAGGGATCAAGCCAACACTGTCTTGCAAGCTGATTGCTGCAGGGTAAGGCAAAGCACGGGTACAGTCTCAGTAAACATGCAGAATGAGCAGAGTGATCATGAATGCCATCTTCTGTCAGAACCAATACACAAACCCCTAATTTTGGTGGTGGTTTCAAGTAGAATAACATTGAGATATTTGAATGTGTCCAGAGAAGGACACTAAAGCTGATGAAAGCTGGAAGGAATGTCCCATGAGGARTGGCTGAGGACTTTGAGTATGTCTTGTTTGAAGAAAAGGAGGTTGAGAGATGACCTCATGGCTCTCTCCAGCTCCCTGCAGAGGGGMAGGGCACGGGGTGTCCAYTGACCTCKGTGTGGGAATGGTTCAAAGCTGTGCTAGGGAAGGTTTAGATGTGGCATTAGGAAATATTTCTTACCAAGAGGGTAGGCAGACACTGGAACAGACTTCTAAAGAGTGGGTTGATGCCCCAAGCCTGTCTGTGTGTCAAAGGCATTTGGACAATGCTGTTAATAATTTGCTTTACCTTTTGGTCAGCCCTGAATTGATCAGGCAGTTCTATTCTATTCTATTCTATTCTATTCTATTCTATTCTATTCTATTCTATTCTATTCTATTCTATTCTATTCTATTCTRGTCTRGTCTAGTCTGTTTTATTCTAATTATTTTTGTGAACCTGTTACCTTAAGGTATGAGAAAAAAAAGTTTTTAGGCAGAGATAATATTGACTACCTTAACAGATACTTCTTACAAAAAATTTAAGGATTAGYTTTCAGTGGCATAACGTGTCTGCCCAACCCCTGTCCTTTTCTCATTTTAGACATGTGTATCATCTATAAACTTAGACTCCATAATATTATTAGTGGGAGAATAACATCCAATTCAGTAGCATCTTATCAGGTTTAAAATAATTTAGCTATTAGGGATTTCTTTCTCTTCTTTTACTGGATCATCCAAGCACATTTTTTTCAGTGAAAGTCTGACAACTGTTTTCAGTAGTATTACGTGCATTATTCAAGGATATCTAGTTGAAGAATCCTTTTCTACTTTTTTATTTTAGAGYTCACTGTAAAGCTCATAGATTAGTCTGTGTGATAGGCTTTTAAAGTTCATTATGAGTCTTCAAACATGAGCAAGGACCATAGTTGATGATCTGCAAAGCTGCAGCCAATGCACGAGTACCAATGTGATAAATCATTAYAGACTGAATGGGCATCCTTCCTCAAAGCAGTTCTTCTCAGTACAAGGTTACCTAGGTGTGTATTCAGGGTTCCTGAAGTAAATCAGAGATAAAGGTTGTCAATGATCAGACTTCCTCTCTAGGTATTCAACTTTTGACAGCTACAGATTTTAAATTAATAATAATACATATTTAAATACRATCATTTAAGCCTAGTTTGTTTGAGCACTCTTGGCAACATGACTGCTATGCTTGGAAAGACAGAGTTGCTTGTGCTTCATACACGCTTTACATCATGGTRAAGCCTATAATACCACTAATGCAACTTGCTGAAAGACATTTGAGGCAGGTGGGATCTTAAATGTCATTAGTAATTGTGCTTTTATTGTCCCTGTAAAAATGCAGATTTGTTAAATTGGAAGTCCTGAAGACTTGTTAAATCAGTAGTCTCTGATCCTTATTTTCAGTATTGCAATACTATCATGAACACTTCAAATCTTTGCTATTAATGTTATTCCTCCTAGTCTCCATTTACATGACCTCATACTACCCACAAATTTTCAGTTAAAAATACTCAGTTCTCTAGAAGCTGTGATTTTCAAAATAATAAACACATCTCAAAAGGACTTAAAAGGGAAAATGWTTTCAGAACTTCGATAATTTTATCATGCTGACACCGAAGAACTGAATGTTAGATCATCTTTGCTCTTCTCCTGTAATTAATTTAAAATGCCATCATTTGTTTGGGTTCAGTCTTTACCATTTGTGTTGTCCCTCTTAACAGCTGCTGATGGCCCAGGAGATCGATTCATCATAGGGGAATCCCAGGCTGGTGAGCAGGTGAGCACAATTTATTTTCTCTTTTTTTGATATATTTTGTAAGTTTTTCTTTGTTTTTTTACAAGCCTTGCTAGTGCTTCAGAATTCAATAGTCTTGGATGTGGTGTGAAGTAGGACACAGCTGTACTGACCCTCCTGCTATGTGCCTTGGGACATGATTTCAGAAAGTGAGGTGGTACAGTTATGTAAGGAACTAACAAGGATGTCCCAAAATACTTCAGAGCATTGTGCTGACATGTCTGATAGGAGTGCACACAGTAATGTTCTGCCCTGCTACAGTGTTTGAGGACATGAGATTTCTAGTGGCTCAACAATTCATAAGCAGAGAAAAGCATGATTTAACACCCTCTTGCTGACAAATTTTTAAAGGATGTCAGCCCAATAACTTTCCATAAGATGCTTCCATTTTTCACACTGATAGCTGCATAATGAAATGTAAGAGTTTTGTATGAAGCTTTTAAGGATAGATAATGATCCGAACAATCTTGAAGCCTGGCAGCAGCCTGGTTTGAGAATGGTTTGAGAAGAGTGTTCGTGCACCCTAGCGGATACGTGGATTGATCTTAAAAGCAAGTTGAGGCATGATCCGTTTGTGAYTTGCTGTGCTCTATAAACATTCATGAATAGACACATTTTGTGACTTGCTCTCAAATTCAAGAGCAAATTTCATGAAATTTCTCTACTAATACTGGAATAATGGGAAAAAATCAGCTCTGTTCAACATTTGTTACTCTGTCAATTTAATCACACCTGCCACCTCTGTTTAGGAGAGTATGAGGTGATCCAAAATGTTTCTCCATGTATTTGAAGTCCCTATAATTCTGTGTCTTTTATGTGAAATGATGGAGAAAGGAAAAAGCAACAAGCAAAACAAGGAATTGGTCAGTTTTAATGAGGATTTCATATGTCCATTTTGACTGCTAAACAAAAAAGTCCAAGTAAAATTGACATATCTCAAAAGTTGTGTCATGTTTCAGAAGTATTACCAGTTACAGGATTATTCCATTTTTTTTAAATGGACTTGAAGTGCCTCTAAATGTGTAATAGACACTTAATTTGGCTAATCATGATAGATAAGGAGCACTGTGAAAATTATTTTTGCTTTAGGTTCCATCCATCATCAGGAATTATACTTTGATATAMTAGACACCTTCTCAGTACTGATATTCATGTGAACTTACATTGATGACTCTGTTGTACAAAATATGTACATTTACTTTAAACTMWAAAAAAAAAAAAGGCCAACTAATGAATTCAACAATTTTTTAACATGCCTTGTATTTTTAGCCCTCCTGACTGCATTTTCAAGCATTGGTCCAGAATCCAAAAGACTGACAACTATTTTTACAACCCTTTTTATGATCGCTGTAAAATATCAAGAAGCAGCAGAGCAACCCACCTAATTATCACTCCTATCACTATCCCCTTGTCTTCAATATCATTTTGCTAGTTAAATATCACAGCACAGTGTTGCTTAAAACCAGTCCTGCTGAAGCTGTTTCTAATGGGGAGTACTTCCCATTAGAGATCTAAAGAGTTTCAGTATTCTAATCAGTTCAGCAGGTTTGTGCAAAAGATAAAAGGGCAAATGGAAGCCTGCTTCCCTCCTATAAAGTTCAAGAGCTCACAAATGTCTCTCTACAGGGACAGTCTGTCCTCCGAGATTACTGGTAATAGGAAGGCTCTCTGGCAAGGAAGAAAAATTGGGTGGGAGGGAGGCATGCAGAGAGAGACTATTTCTGAAAATACCAGTGGCAAGTTAGAAAAACAAGGCTGTTGACCTCAGAATAATTGGTCAAAGTTTTTTTCTGGGGCAAACACATCTTCAGGTTCATCTCCTTCCCAAGAAATTATTTATAGCCTTGGAAGGCTCCTCAGTCTCATTTCACTCTTCAGTCACTCTCAGCAGCAACATTCTGCTTTTCATGTTACAGACCAATTAACAGARTGATTCACAGCAGGGAGTTCAAAATAGATTTAGATTTGGCTCCTCCTGTAGGGGAAAAGGTTATGTAAATGCTAGTAGAAAGGAAGATGGACTGAGAATTGCAGGGAGGGCCAYATAACCTAGTTGGACACATCTGTATCAATTTTTAAATTGTCTATTTTCTGATTTTTGTCTCCAGATAGTCATGTTTATGTTAACCCTTTTTTAATTGTGTATCAATGAAAGGTTTCATACACTGCCCTGCTTTGGGAAGGTTAGGGCACTCTTGAGGTTACTGGTCATAARCCATTCACAATGGCCTCTGTGTGAAACACACAGCCATGGGGAAATGGTTTTCCTAATGTAAACTTACATACTCAGACTGTAGCATTTCCTGCAAGACTTTCTAAAGGTGTTTGCAAGAGACACTATGACTAACAGCTACAATATAGGATGAAAAGCAGACATTTTCCACAATTTCATTAACCTGTGTCTTTTTACAGAAAGGAGCATGGATCATTCTAAATCACACAAAAGAGATGCAATCATGTGCAGGAGAAAATGCCTGAGATAGGGGTTTTACTTAGTCGATTATTTCTGGGTTTTATTCAGTGACTGAAATTGAGTAGATTAACAGTAATGAAGGCAAAGGACAGAAACCACTATTGCCCCATTGCAGGTAAAAGTGAGATCTCAAAGGCCTTTAAAACAACTTCTGTGAAATTTTTGTACATTAATATGCTTTCTGAGAAGTAACCATTTCTTTATCTTCACAGACTCTAGCATAGAGGAACACAGCCCTGGAGAATCACACATAAATCTGATGGTTGAGTTTTGTTCATAAAGTAATCTGACCAARTTCTCAGCAGATAAAAAGAAAACTAAATATATGAGCAACAGAACCAATTCTAGAAGCAATTGTTATTGTATCATAAATTTGTTTAAATGTATCARTCATTGCATCTCAAAAAATTAACTCATCTAATAATAAACTCCAAAAACATGGTTYGTTACAGCACATTTCATCACCATAGGCTCTGATTTATGGCAGTAGTAGACATTTTGTATTCTTTGTGGTGCTTTTTAAATGGGAGATTTTTTTTATGCAATACTTTCTTCCTTTGAATAGTTATTTTAGTCAGCAATACTTAGTATGTTCAAAACAATGTCACCTATTTGTAATGTACCTTTGGATTATATCTAAAGTGGTATGCAAAACACATAATTCAAGGCAAGATTTGCCTTTTATAACTTTTCATAAAAATAAAAATTGCACACTAGATAGCATTATTTTCCTTTTTAAGCAGCTTTAGGATAAATGGCACTATCTCTACCATGCATCCACAGCTTCTTGAACACTTGGGGGTGAGGAATAACTACCATTTTCTTAAAAGTATTATTTTTATGTCATCTGGTTTATATACCTACTTTAGCATGGCATGAATCTTGCCCTAAAAACACACTAACCATGACATATGGCAAGTGTGGGGTTTTTAAGTTTATATAGCATTTTATTTATGTTCTTCTCTGAGGATATTAGATTTCCATTACCTGTAGAGATGGGTCAAGATTCAGTCAGTTCCAAGCTCAATTGTTTCTTGGGATATGTAGGTCTCTGTGATACTATGGTAAGCCAGATACAAACCATTCCCAGCCTCCTCGTAGGGCTTCTGTCCCAATGAGTAGCCTTTGCAATACACACATTTCAAAGAAAAACTCACCTTTCAGAGGTTATGGCAGTACTGAGGTGGAGTMGAAGAATGGGCAAGGCAAACAGCTTTATGCAGCTGAAATGCTGGCCACTGGTCTAGAGTATGGCAGTGTCTGTCAACCTCCTGACAAAATTCATGGASTAAATGCTGGCTGGGCAGGAGCAGGTAACAGTGCCTGGGCAGGACTGCCTGCAGGCCAATTATGTGCTGTCCAATATGTGCTTATCACAGTTTGAGAAGTCCTGGATGTATTCCAGCATTGCATATGGARTACTGAGCCAATCTGCACATGAATTGTATGTGTGACACATGCAGAATATGTTGCTCTGAGCTGTGTAGATCTGTGTGTAGCACATRTTAACTAATAACAGTAAAGCCTAAATAAGTCAGACTTACAGCAGTGCTGTGGGGAGCCAACAATSAAATCTCAGTCATCATATCAACTTCTTTTGGTTTCATTCTTTTAGGATTTTTTTTTAGTTATTTATTTCTTAAGTGGTTATGGTCAAATTAGTTTTACTCTGGATTTGGTGAATGCTTATTAAAATAGTCTGCCTATTTAATAATGTGAGAAATGTTATTAAAACCATGTGATTTATTTTATCATGTTATTCTGACATTCTTCCATTCTTTGCACTGCTTCTGCTGAAACTTTTTAATGTCCTGTGAATTTATAGAATTGTAGAATATTATCAGTTTTAGGCTATTCAAAACTGACCCTCACAAAGATAGATATTCTCTGTGAACTAGTATTGAGCTGCTTCTCAGGGTGAGGAAATCTGCTTTAAAATGAAGTAGTTGATTACATTACCATTATATGTTGGTTTTCTGTGTGTAGTGTGCTGGTAAAACAAAACAGAACAAAAATACAACCAAAGCAAAGCAATTTCAGCCCTGGAGACCAGAATACATTGCAAATATATTTTTATGTACTGAGAACTACTAGACTTTTGCTCAGGGAAGTTTCCAGAAGGTCACCATGTAACAGTTGAATTTTCAAGCCAGTTGTTTTTCTGTGCTAAGTGTTTTTCTGAGTATCAGTATATTTCTTCTTCTGAAAGTTGTTCATGGGATAGAAATACAAAGAGAAAAAGCCTGAAACTGCCTAATATGTGGCCATATAAATAAAGCCAGGTGTGAATTGGAGTTTATTGTACCTGTTGATATCACTCRCATCATATCAAGAGTCATTCTGAAAATATGAATTCCAGTCTTTCAGATGAGTTGTGTAAAGTTCAAGTGGTTCATTTTTTATTTTTTTTTTTGAAAAGTAGAATAATTTCTGGGTTTTTTGATTTTTCAGCCAACTCAGACTGTGATGCCTGGTCAGGTAATGCGTGTTACAACTGGTGCTCCAATTCCGTGTGGTGCTGATGCAGTGGTGCAAGTGGAAGATACAGAGCTCATCAGGGAATCAGATGATGTGAGTCACMAGTTTAAAAACTCATTTTTCTTTTGTGTGCAGCAAAAAATGGYACATGCTACAGGTCTGTAAATCTGAAAGACAGTCATACAGAAAAGCTCTTCAGTAACCTCAGAAGWTTGAGGATTTTTGCATCAGTTCCTAGTGGCAATTCTCACTTTTTCAGGCTGTGATAACCRTTCCACAGACTTTCCTGTTCTGACTGATTTTTCTTCAAAGTTGYTGAATGCTGACACTGAAATACTTGAGAGCATAATTTGAGTGAAAGGCAAATGCCTYCTGGAAATCCATGCCTACAGTCCTATTTGAATGCCTACTGTATTCACATTTTAAAATACAGGCTAGTGGCAATCTCACGAAATTAGAAGGGGAGAAGTKTTCTTAAATTACATATTGATCTCAGAATAATGCATTGGTTTACTGCTGATGTAATTAAAGCTGAATATGGTTTTCTGTGGGAGAGTGAACTAAGTGAAGCAAAATCCATGGGATSACTTGGGTTCTGTTAAACTGTGTTATGAAGATGGTTCAGTGTTATCAGAGTTGATCTTGTTTCAGCAAAGGTGAATTTGGTGGATTTTRGACAATACATCTTGTACATCTTCCAATGAATTTGTTTAGAATAAGAGGTTCGGTTATGAAACCGGGGAAGTAAGTGCCTCCCAAATTTTTTTTGAACTACAACTAAGATTTTTTTAAAGACCTTTGTGCTCCTTGAAAATGAGAACATTCCTGAATTTAAGACCTCTGAAAACCAAGAAATGGGTAAGGTACATATTCCCCCAGAATGTATACATAACCCTGTTTTTGAACAGATTTTCCAGCCTACCTTTAAACCACCCTAATGCACTACTTTATAGATGCTGCAAATATGAACACAGAAAAAAAAAACCACAGAAAAAAGCTACAGAAGAACTATGAGTACTGTAGTACTAATTCTGTATGTGCAGTCTTAGCATAGGGAAATGTGCTTTTTGTGAAGCCAAGGAGCTCTCTGTAGACAAGTGTATTTCAAAGAGTCCATCTTAGATTTCCTTTGTGTTCAGAGAATTGCTTCTGAATCCCAGCTGTGATTTCAGGATGCTATTATCATGTTTGCTGTCATCTGAGAGACTTCAAGGAAAGAAGACAGTCTCTTATTGACTCAGCTTCCAAGTTCAGCTTTGAATGAACTATGTATATAGTTCTGTGCTCAATCAGCCTTTGCTCTACTGCTGCTGTTCTGACAAGCTGTTMTACTTTGCCACAGCTCAGTGTCACCATTGTGATTGCAGCTGGGGTGTAAGCAGATGAATTCTAGTGTTCAAAACTGATAAAGATAACAAAAACTGAAAACCACTCTCAGGATCCTTTCTCATGCCTTATTAAATGCATAGGGTTTTTACATATCTAGGCTGTCCTTCCTATCAGAGAAATTWTTGAGTCAATCCTGCTTTTATRTAATCTATATATGTATAGATTATGTCTTTCTTTAAAATACACCATTGCCTTCACTGCTTGTTAATCATTCTGTTAACTTTACTGAGCAAGTTTTTTGTGGCCATTGCCCACCTCATCATGAAAGGACTATCACATTGCAGAGCATCACACATGGTAACATTTTATTTTGCTACTTCTTTGGATGACTCTGTCCTGCCTTCCACTTTTTATGTACACGTTCTCCTCTGCTGTGAGAACAGGTTATCRGGCTATGTGCTTAAACTCTGGCTTTTTTCACAAATTGTCAGCCATCTTCAACTTTTTTTCCTGCCTGTAACTATGAGGTAGATCTCTTTAGTTTCTGCTTGTCTTTGAATTCACTACTCTACAAATCCTGTTCATGATAATTAGTACCATTTAATTAATATGTTCTTTTTTTCTCTTCCTTTTCRTGTCTGGGTGGCTACATATTTCAAGAATATTTTTCTTGTTAGTGTTAAGAATTCCTTCAGGGCTGAGATTTACCTGAAGTGAAAGCTTTAACATCTGAAAAATGTTCTGAAAGGAGATTAGTTTTCAAAGGAGCTCATTCCTTGAATTCTAGTTGTGGTWGCAGTACTTAAATTTCATAGCAAGCATTTCCCAAATGATCTTAGAAGTCATAGGCCTGAAAGGAATTACATATATCCATCAGGAAGAAAAATTCTCATCAGCTTGCCAAATTCATTAAGAAACATGTCTACACCCCTTTCATTTTGAGGGTTTTTCATTTGGTTTTCATGTCACCTTGTAGGAGAAAGGAGGCCAGTGTGAYCAACCTAAACAAGAGATAGATCCTGCATCAAGCCCAAGCATCAGTGTATCAGTGTGGATGCCAACTGKTCACAACCGCCAGAGCAAACCACTMAGATATGGGTCAAAATATATTAATACACAGCAAGAATGCTGCCTGACACCAAATGAAGGATGTTCTTAGCATTACACCATACATCTCTTCAAGCCCCTCTGGCCACTTTGCATTATCTTATATTCCTTAAGCACTCTGGATATCCATCAGTTCCATAGATATCACACTTTCCACAGTGCTTTTTAAACTTGGGATTGCTGAATTCTTCAGAAACCTTTTTTTTTCAGTTGTTTCCTCTAAACCAGAAATCCTAAATAGGACCTTTTATATTATTCAAAAATGTATTACTGCCTCTCCTCTTGATTCCCTTTAAATCTTCTATCTAGCTTTAAAAGTTATCAAAGATACGGAAATTTCAAATCTTCATGATTGAACATCCCCAGAGTATCATAAAAATAAAATAATCCTCCAACTAACCATTGCTCCAAATTTTTATTGCAAGACTCAAGTGTCTTTTACAGCCTCAGCTGTAAGAGGGACAAAAGGCCATTCTGGGCACCAGCACAGCCAATTCGAACACTCACAGCCAAAAATCATCTCTTCTCTTATACAAAAAGAGCAAGTACAAAAGAAACAGAATTTGCAATAAAAGCTTCTGAAAAGCATATGGAAATACTGGGATAAAGTAAGAAATTTTTTTATTCATCATTTTCTGGTTTTCAGGGGTGTGAATTTTCACAGTAGGTAAACAGAATCACAATCTCTAATAACACATTCGTTAGCTTTAACTTTGGGGCTTAAGTTTAAAGCATTTCGTTTGAACTCAGAAACCAAGGCCCATATCACCTTTAAGAAAAGATACAAGTCTCAGTGACCTGTACAATACCTTTGTTCTTATAAAAATTCCAAATAACATTAACCTGCCTTGTTAGTCTTGTAATATTAGTGTCTGATTTATTACTTTTTAGGTATTTAAATATAAAGCAATACACGGTAATGTAAAAACAAAATGTGTTCCAGTCTAAGTAAGTTTAAATTTAGTGCTCCTGACAGGCTGGCACTATCTCAAAGCTGAGTATATATCATCAACCCATTTGCTGGGCTTAAAATTAAATATTAGCAATATAGGTYATGTGCCATCTATTGGCATTGACTGAATCACCAAACCATTGACATTCTGAACAAGGAAATGCATCAGACTTTGCATGCCACTGTCTCTTGTTCACAGTAAATAAAAAAGATAAATGATTCTCTTTCTGATTCATACAAAGCTCTCAAGTTGGAGTATCCAGTGCAGTCATCTACATGAAAATCCTCCAACAGCTACAGCATATAGCTTCTTCCCACCTTTCTGCTAATGTAGTGGCCTACTGTCTGCCAGACTAATGGTCTTGTTGAAGTGCCATCTTTGAAATTGGCTGAGGGAGTGGAACGAGTCCATTCAGTATACTAGATCAACAGATGTAACATAGGAAAGCTATATAAAAATAGGAAACTAAAACTACATATTCAGTGCTGGTCCTCTCCTGGTGAGCTCATCATGAAGACTATTTCTTAAAATGCTGTTCAGTTTTAGCACACATTGTGTTACAACCTTGACAAACAAATCAGGAGAACAAAATTATGCTTAAACCATAATGTCACAGTGTAATGAGTGTTGTAAATTGTGTAGGCTTCTGAGAAATTAAACGTTAATCTTCTTTGAATAGCTCAGCTGACCGTATTTGATGTCCTTGTGTTTGCAGGGCACTGAAGAACTGGAGGTTCGAATCCTGGTGCAAGCTCGACCAGGCCAAGATATCAGGTCTGTATTTATTAAACTATCCCTGTAAGGAATAGAAGGGCTGATGATTTTTCAAGTAGTTTTTTAATCATGAGTAGTACTGACATTTTGACAGTCTGACTAATGAGCGTTCACGGGCACTCCTCACCTGGAACAGGACAAATCAAGGAAAGATACTTTGAGTCTCATTCTGTTTCTCTTTTGTGTTGTTTTTCTGTGCTATGATTTTCAGACCCATAGGACATGACATTAAAAGAGGTGAATGTGTGTTGGCTAAAGGAACACACATGGGTCCATCTGAGATTGGTCTCTTAGCAACTGTTGGAGTAACTGAAGTAGAAGTTAACAAGTTTCCAGTGGTTGCAGTAATGTCAACAGGGAATGAGGTAAGAAAAGTTTTGTTTAGAATTACAATTGTTTATTCTGAAATACTGTATTTTCTTTGAGGCAGTGTTCTGGATAGTGACTTCTACCCCAGTCCCAAGCAGACTCACTTTTTGAGCTGCAGCTCATGCTGACATGAGCTATTTTTGTGAAAGATCAACCCATACTTACCGGCTTGTGTTTTCTCCCTCAGGGGCTTTCTCACAGGTCTCACACTATCTTTGCCAAAGTTTTGATAATGTATCCAACCATGTGTCAGCTGCTTTTCTCCAGCCAGCAGGGAAGAACTTGTGGGGTAGTTAGGGTTGTAATTCATATTAGCAGTCATGACTGAAGAGTAATTTCTTTTTAGCAACACTCCTCTGTAGCTGCAATGTCAATGGTAGGTAAGCTATCTTTGAATAGTACTACCAAATGCCTTGCTGAAGTATTGTTTCTCAGTATTTTTTCTAATAGTAGCACATGCTGAAATTCAGATACTCTCCTGTTGGTAGAACGGCRGACAAGCTTTATAATTGCTTTAACTACGTCCAAAAAATCAGGCTAAAGATTAACTTAATTTACTAATCTTACCTATGTTGTGTGTTGAACCAGATCAGCAACTATGCCCTCTCATTTCTTCCAGCAGCAGGACTAAGAACGAATAGGAAGAGCAAAACCAAGAGAACATGTGGGTTGAGATAATGTCAGTTTTACTTTAAAGTTTAAAGGCAGCATGAAGTTTTGACTGTGCTTTAAAACAAACCTTTTGAAATCCAGACACAAACATTAACTCAATAGCTGTATTCTCATACAGCTTGAATATGTTCAATTTTGAAAGATTTTGAAAACTTTTAATAAATTGCATTTTGTCATCTGGTRTACAGAATCTTGCCAGATTTCATAGCATAAGCAGGGTGTGGCATACAGGAACCATGCCATAAATGAAGAATAAATCCATAGATCTACAAGGATTACAGGTGATGATTTCCTGGTTAGTGACTTCTGTGTGATTGAAGATTCTTGCATGTCATTAAAGGATCTTTTACTGGTGTGGACATTCTCTTTTGTCAAATGTTGAAAAAGACCCCACAGTGGGGTTCCTAAACATCCTAAGAAAGTCTTCACAGAAACAGAGCTGCAAGCTGAAGCATAAAATTTACCCATGCTCCATTTTTTGTTATTCTTACCTTTCTACCTGATATTGCTGTGATTTTGACAGTTATATTCTTATTAGTAATACTGTTATTTAACTCCTGTCAATATTGTATTGCCTTTCTGTGTCCTACATAAAAATTTCTAATATATATAAAACGTGTATTTTACATATGTGTATTCTGTTAGTTAGCTTCCAAAATACATAACACATATGACGCAATTGCCACGATCTTCTATCTTGAGAGAAAGCTTTTCATCCAAAACAAATATTGATACAAGAACTAAGCTTCTGTCTATTAATCCAGTGCAGATTATTGTATTTAAAAATATCTTCATTGGAAAGTAGACAATGAATTTCAACCTGTCCATTAATACTTTTAAATCTGGTTAAAAATGTCAAGAGGTTACCTTAAAACCATGTAAAGAGGAACAGAAATGTGAAGCTTTGAAGTTTTTGTTTTGATTGCTAATGTCTGAGATTAGAAGCCATCTATTCATAAGGAGCAAGAACATTTTGCAGACATGAACCAATAGAAACAAATGAAACAAAATGGAGGATTGGACTAAACAAGCACATATCTATTAATTTAAACATACTAAATATACTAAATCACTTTATATGAAGGTTTTATGGTATGTATCTAGAAATAACCTGCCCAACCCAAATAAGAAAATTCTCGCTTGCACAAAGCACAGTATTCCAAGGAGACTGACTGAAAGTGTTTCTGTTTTTATAGCTACTGAATCCTGAGGATGACCTCTTGCCAGGAAAGATTCGGGACAGTAACCGTTCAACTCTCCTAGCTACAATCCAAGAACATGGCTATCCAACAATCAATTTGGGAATTGTGGGTGATAAGTAAGTACCACATGTTAGTAAAGATGTCACTTCATATTCATGCGATGCACTTTATGGCATCCATGGGAAAAAGAAATACCAGAGAAAATGTCACTCATTGCCAAGTGTCACAGTGTTGTGACAAGGCACATCTTGGAGAAAGCATTTCACCCTTTTCATTAGAGAAATAAACAAGTCTATTCTAATATTAGGACAAATATTTTGAAGAAAATTTATTTAATGGTGTTTAATTTGGTTTTCTGTTTGTTGAAACAGATAATCCATTTACTGTTGCAAACTGAATTTATTGCTGCAGTATCTTTCCAAGCACTATACTTAAAACACATTAGAGGAGATAGTTCTACACTGATCCAATAAAGGGAGAAGGAAAGTTTCTCTCCGACTTTATTTTCCATGCCAAAATTAATTTAGAGTATAAAATTTTGTCAGATTCTGAGTAATTGTCTTTTGAGGCAGGCCCCAGTGCTGCATATTGCTCAATATTTCCAGAAATATRTGGAAGAATTTTTTTTTTCTTTTAACTTTACTGGTCTTTACTTTGMTTGCCACAGAGTAGCACCCTACTGATCAGTCTTTCTGTTCTTCTGGCAGTGATTGCTCCTTGTTTCCCAGTGGTAGTGAAGTGACATCTCTTGAGAGCTCTAGAATAAGTAATTGAAGTGTTCAGTTTTTTGTCCTTCACAAAACTTGTGCAGGGATTGTCATCCATGGCTTGAGTTTCTCAGCATGATGCATTTCCTCAATTTATTGAGATCCAGMGGCTTTGAACAGGCTTTCTTGCTTCTCAGTTTGGGTACCAAACCAACTGACAAGACTTGGTTTGACCGGGAGTGGTTCAGATTGTCCTAGTGCATAGTTAAAAGTTTAAAAAAAAAACAAATAAAACGCAACAGAGAGTGAATTTCCCACATTTCACAGTGACTGATGACAAGGTCCCACTCAGGGYCTGTAACAAAATCCAACAAGGTTACTATAAGGGAACAGGTAGTTTCAAAACCAGTCTTCCCTAATGCAGTATTGAATACAAAACATCACTAGCTTGACAGATAGTGTATGAATGGRACCAGCCATTGCATGGTTGTACAGTAGCTAAACCAACCTGTATGGTGGCTGCAGGAAATGCAGTTGTATTTGAAGTATTCATACAGGGCATGTGACATCACCATTGTGATCTTAGGGAAAGCAAACCCTTCTGGATACTCTCGCTGCATCCAGGTACCATTTTTGTTTCTCTAACCTAGCAAAACACCTTTGCAGTTCCAAATAGCAATAAATACCAAAGCCCTCCTGCCCATGAATGCTTCCAGTTTCAGGTGGTAATGTCATACATAGAAAGTCTAAACTCATAAGACTGTTCTTTCCAGCAATGGTATGAAATGTCCTGGATCTCTAGAGTTTTCTATAATTACAAGAACCTTTTWAAACTTTAAACATAAGTAGCAAAGCTTTCAAATAAAACTACTATAYCCAGAGATCAGGTTCTAGATTTGGGTAACTGAGAAAAAAKAAAATGGCCACAAAAAGTCTCTCAGCTTCTGAGAGCCATCTATATGTAGAGGGATTGGCAGGGGTTTTATTCAGAAAAATTGTGTAGGAGGAACTTTTTACCACCTGCCAGACCAAAAGTAACAGCTACTGCTATCAACATTATTGTCAATGACAACTTACATAGTTGCATTACCAGTGGGTTCATCCAATGGAAAAGATGCTTTCCCTAAAAGCCCCTCTGGAAAAATAAGAGTGTAAAACTTGTTTATTCTTCATAGCCTTGTCCTCATCAAATAAATATTGTCTCAATGATACWAAAGTCAACGCTATCAAATGGAGAGTTTAACTTAAGGTCGTTGTGCRAAACTATAGCTATGTACTCCATTGCCTTCAGGAGTTGTTCCTAGGCATGGAAAGTCTGTGAAKATAAATAATCTTGAAAGTTCTCAGTAATAAATGGCAAACAACTTTAGAATCATAGAATCATTTAGACTGGAAAAGACCTTTAGGATCATCAAGTCCAACCAGCATTCCCAAGTCCACAACTAAACCATGTCCCCAWGKYYSCMACATCTACATGMTATTTAAATACCTCCAGGGATGGAAATTCCACCACTTCCCTGGGCAGCCTGTTCCAATGCTTGATGGCCCTTTCAGTGAAGAAATTTTTCCTGATATCAAATCTGAACCTTCCCTGGTGCAACTTGAGGCCATTCCCCCTTATCCTGTCACAAGTTACTTGGGAGAAGAGACTGACCCCCACCTGACTACAGTCTCCTTTCAGGTGGCTGTAGAGAGTGATAAGGTCTCCCCTGAGCATCCTTTGTTTCAGGCTAACCAACCCCGGCTCCTTCAGACACTCCTCAACCGACATGTGTCCCAGACCCTTCAAAAGCTTCATTGCTCTCCTTTAGAATGTTTCCTGTAGTGAGGTTTAAGGCCCAAGAGAAATTTTTACTTTTCTATATTTTTTTCCAATATATTTTATGACCCTTTTTTACTTGTCAGRTGGTAGCTGAACACCAAGCAGCAAACAAATATATCAGTCTAAGGAAGTGCCTGCAGCTTTGCTATCAGTTATGAGAGAGGTTGATTCATTTGAATCTTCACTATTAAAATGATCTCTGTGTCTTGAGATAGGATTACCTTGGCAGAAGCTGTAAGAGTTCTTTTTAAATGTTTGGTTTCCTCCTCTTTTGTGTTTCATGCTACCAAAGCATCTTCTGCAGTGGTAGTTAGCTCACAGTATAGAAATAGTGAGCCTATAATTGTAATGTGTACTTTGCAGTAAGTTTTGAAAGAATAATTTAGTACTGTTGACTTAGTTAAAAATCTCTTGCACCAGATACGAGGATTCAATCTTAGCAACTTTTCTGCTGTTCTTCACCCAATCCATATATTTACAGCAAAATGCATCTGCAGTTCTATTTCACTCAAAAGGAAAATCTGTTTGTGTAAATCAGTTTGATAAGAAGTATGGTGTTATTTCATTACCTAATAAAGCTACTAACAGAATGTTGCCCATATGAATATTTSAGTACATATCTTTCAGACTAACATGACTGATTTGATTGAGTACCATGGCACTTGAACAAATGCAAGAGACATACCAGAAAGATGTTACAAAKGATACAATTTGGACACTTTAATTAGCATGTTTRTAGAAGAGAGGAACAAGCCTTCAGTGTCTGTTTTATGGTTTACTGAAGTTAAACCATAGATTGTGTGTTTGTGTGTGTTCATGTATATGTGCATTTTGTATGTATAATATGTATCCAGACATTGAAAATCAGGAAGATTTCATATGCCTGCAATATCTACTGGTGTAGTAAAAATACTGGCAAACATACTTTTTAGAAGGAAAAATTTAAAACTTGTACTTSTTTTAAAATGTATCATGCTAATATATTTCTTCCTCCCCATATTTCAGATGGAGGGTTTTTTCCCTGTTTCCTTTCTTTGGTACAATTTTCATTGTGTAAATTTTACTGAGAGTATCACTAGCTGTACACCATAAGCAATAATGGAGTTTGAGACAGCAGCTAATAGGGAGCACAGTAAAGTATTACAATTTCTGTAATGGTTCAAGGTTTTTAACAACCCTGGAAATCCTCTTCAATCATATTTGCAAATCTAATATTCAAACATGAAAATTGTTTTAGAGTAGTACTTGCAAAGGCAAACTTAGAGGTTATTTGTATATATCATTTTAGCATACAAATCATTCAGAGGTGTTAAGGTACAAAAAATAGCTTGTCCAKCTACTTCAAAGCCCAGGATTGTGATAAATGTAAACACATTCCAGCAGAGAATGTGAAAGCACTGGGAAGCACATTGAATATCTGGGTTTCTGAAGAGTAGTTAAAAGCATTTTAAACATGTCTTTGCATATTAATCATATGTGAAGTTACATTTTGGATTGACTCAAGTCTGACTTATCCTACAGTTGTATTTTCATTTGAAACCAATGTTTTATTTCTTTTGGGAGCATTTTAATGATTTCTGAGATTGTCAYTGTTTGTTTCTGTTCTCATAAAGTGTATCTATCACTAAATATTCAAAATAAAAAMCAGCAATTCCAAAACCCATAGATCAAATTTACAGTTGAAATCCTAGAAGAAAGGAATAGGAGAAAAGAACACAGCTGGGAATGTGATAAAGCTGAAGTTATGTCTGCCTAGAAGCCAAGATTTTCTCYATTTGTGTTCCTAGCACATAAAAGCCAAGCTGTTTGAAAAGCACACATCTCTGAGTRGAAATGGAAGATATATACATTTCCAGAACTACTCCAAACACAAGAAACAAGTGCAAAACGAAGGAAAGGAAGAACCCTTCCTGTCTTGTGTCTTACATTTTTTGCCTGAATGTCAGACTCACTTGCTAAAAAATAAAAAGAACTACTGGCCAGTTAAAATTGGTATTTCAGTGTACTTTTGCATATTACCTCCTAATAACAAGATCAAATTTTAAAAGCATCTAATTTCATTTGCTTTGCTTATAGTCTGTGAATTTATTTGGGGTTTTGGAAACCAATGATAAAAATAAGTTACATCTTTGATCTGATCTGGTGAAGTCTAATTATCAAGATATTTTCTGTGTCTGATTATTTCATTTGTGTTGTTCTTTGTATTCCATTGTTTAAAATGTAAAGTWTAGCCCTAGCAAAATCTATAGTGTGGGTCTCTGTTTTACAAAGTCATCTTCCATTTTGACAGCTTTTCTTCTATGAGAGTCTTTCTTATTAAGCTTGCTAAGGAATTTTGATCACGTATGTAATGAATTCAATTTCCTCTGTTTTTACCTTTGTTTACATGAGTGCATTTTCCCCTTCTCTGCATTCTTTTCCCTATTTTCTAATTCCCTTATCATTTTTCTCAGAGATATGTATAATATTTAGTTGCTTCCAGCAACATTTTTATTTGTTAGCCTGTGATTTCACAGTGGAGAGAGAAAGGATCTCTCTCTTTAGGAGAAAAATTTAGAAAATTCACATTATATCTTCACTTGCTTTAGACATCTATCTGAATAGTTAAGTCAGCATTTATGAGAGCTTTTCTGTATGAGAAGTGTTTAGTGTTCTTTCAGAAGTGTCTRAAGTGTTCTTTTAGACATAATGTTGGACACAGAGCTCCTAAATGACAGGTAAACCTATTAAAAATCACCTTTGCTGTTGTGACAGCATTAATCTATGACATCTCTAAAATAAATGCTTTGAAAGAGTCCCTTCATGTTGAGAAGGGATACTGATATCTTACTCAAGGATTTGGTCTGCTTCAATTTTAAGTTTGACATAAAAAAGAAAAGGTTTAAATCTCTTGTACTCGTGAGGGTTGCATGTAATTGCCAGTATTATAATATAGATGGAACATCTGGAGTGGAGGGAGAAGAGCAGAAAAACTGCTCCAACTMCAGAATTTCTCATGCAATATCATCCTTATATATTTCATTGTATGAGTTAGAATATGAGTTATAGGCAGAATCCAGTCACAGAATCCTAGTCTCTCCCTACTCCAGTTACATGCCCAGCTTGGGTAAAATCAAATATACTGTGAACAAAATTAGTAATAGTAGTAGTAGTAGTAGTAGTAGTATCATTTAACAAATGACTGCAAGAAAATGCTTGTTAGAGAAAAGGCCTTACAATAAATGTCATAATATTGGGTTTTGCTAAAGTGGGTCCACTTCTAGTTCTGCTCAAAAAACGATGGTGTTATAAAGTGTGATTATAGCCTAATGAATTCAGGGATATGGTGTAATGATTTCAAGGTGATTAAAATGTAGAGGTCCTCTCTTTCATTGTGCCCTGTCAAGAATATTTTCCTTTTCAAGCAGAAATGTTTATTATAGTTCACAACAACTCATGAAAATCATCAGGGAAATCATCAATAAGTTGTCATATTGACAAGTCATCTCATCTAATACAATACTCCGAAAACACAAAGGAACATCTGAGCCAAAACAGAGGTGAAAAAAGAGCTTGTAAACAGGACAGTGCAAGTCCCAGGGAATCTCCTGTACCACTAGGAAACTACATAATGTGACAGGCAGTAAAATTTCTTGCTGTAGAGGTGACAGGTGCAAAGCTAATGCACAGCAAAATGCCRTTTTCCTCTGTTCAACACAAGCATGGGCTCCTTCCTGAATTAGCATTTGTAGAATTGCAGCTCAGTAGTGGACATGGCAGTAAAGAGCAGATAATAAAGAGGACAGAATACTTTGAAAATCCTGTCTTTGAAAACAGAGGGACTCTRTTTGTTGGAGGAAAATAAAAATTACTATTTTTATGGTCTATTATTGAGGCATAAGTTAACAATTGTAAAAGTACTTGGAGATGTAAGTTCTGTTTTCAAGAGAACATCTTCTAGAGGCCAAATCATTTACTTACAAGAATTTCAACCTTCTTAATGCCTAGAGCATATATAGGAATTTGAGTTCTCAAGTCATTGGGAAATTTTTGTGGCTTGAAATGTTACTAATACCCTGGAATAAAATAATGAAAACTAATAAAGACAGTAGATACAGAACAATCAAACAAGTGGTGAATGTTGAAGGTGGGTCAYTGTGTCAGCAATAGGAATCACTTACAAAATTGGGTTAAGTATATTGTTAATATAGCCGAGTATGAATTGATATATATAGGATTAAAGAATRTAAGTAAAATTTATGGGATGGAGGATTATATCCTAAGAAGTAAAGATTTAGGAAAAGATTCAAGAATCATCTAAATACAAGTTCTAGCAGATGTATAAAGAACTAACCTCCTATAGAATTAGAAGGTTATTTTTGGCCTTACCTTTCTATTCCCAGGACAAGAACCATTGAATTTTTTAAGTGGTTGAAAGATGGACTATGTACTCAAGTCGTACCAGAACTCAGGCTGCGTAGTTCAACAGATATTCTTACAAGATCACTTGATTACCTTCCAATAATATTAAGCCACATGGAGAATAAACTGATTATAGTTTCTACTTCAGTAGCAATGCCTATATATTCAAGTTCAACTAATTCAGACTGTAAATAAAGCATAATTTTAACAGTGATGGTAATTAGTTATTAGGAAACTATATCAAATGCTTTGAYACTCATTTCAAAGCAAGATTGGATATTGATTTACTATTCAAACAGAAGGAATTTTATGGAGCTTCTCASACTATTATAAATACTAAATCATAAAACAAAAGAGAGTTGTTCCTCCTGGTTKCAAGCAATCTCTTAAATATTACTTCAGATAAGTAAATTAATTTTATGTTGTTCTAATAGACAATGCATGGTAGAAGCACAAAATCAGAAGACCAGTACCAGCAAAAATAACACAAYAGAGCTTAACATCATGCTGGAAAAGATTTTGTATTTTTGAGACTGCTGTCTGTAATATTGATTCTTAAACCAGAAGCTGGGATCATTCATGAAMCCTGAAAGTCTTTTATGTGGCACTTCATGGCACAGGGACCCGATTTTGAGAAATAAAGATTGACTTCTTTCTCTGGCAATGAATAGAAGAGCAAATGAGGGATTGAAGCCATTTTAGGAAACGGCTTTCTTGTGAAGCCTGTCAGAAAGAAACAGACATCTAAACTTTTAACCTGAATAATCTGAATATTTTTCAATCAGTTCCTATTAACATTAATATGCATTCAATCTCACAGAGCCTCTTTATGAACTATGAGGAAAAACTTGGCATGGATTTACAAGGTGATAAAAGAGGATTTTAGATTCCCTGTAAGCAGTGACTGTGGGCATGTGTAACAGTAGTGCAGGGACATTGGCCCAGTCTTCTCCTCACATTCCTTAGTCAGACAGGACAGGTGTGTGCACAAAAGTGATCTTTGAAATGCCAGACTGAAGCTGCCTCATGCAGGATCAGCTGATCCTGAGCTGGGGAGGGAGGTTGACTTCGTTGTACCTGTCCAGCCAGCTGATAAGAAKAAAGGGCTCAAGAGTCGCACACTGATGACTCATTACATGGTCCATTTCAATCTTCAATATCTGATTTCAGGGTTTTTTAGAAGGTATATTTATAAATCTTCATGTCAAATGGAGATTCTTTTTTTACATTTTACATTTAATTGCCCTACATTTAAGAGTATAAAAACATAATTTCTATTTATTTCACATTTCTGTTACAAAAGACACCATCTCAAAATAGTTTTTTCACAGAAAAATTGACTTGGAAGAAGTATATTTAAAAGGTAATGGTGCTTTCATAAAATTGGAATTCATAGCAAACCATTAAATGTTTTAAATAAAGTCCTGTTAGGAGTAGTTTTCTCAGTTTTGGACATTTTTTCTAATCCTGCCTCTTGCAGCAGGGTATGAAGCTTCTCATGAATGAAGTGGCATCTTTATTGACTATGAAGTTATAAAATTAGGATAATTACAGCTCTTTCCCCCTTGTAGTCAAGAAGGTGACAGTTATTATGCCTTGAGACCTATTTCCTGAATAAGAAGCTAAAAGTGTGAGTAAAAATGTTTCAGTGGGGCCCATCTCCAAATATCTTCCCATTACCTGTGGTCCTCCTTCCAAAATGTCAAGTTGTTTATCACTTCATTTTGCTTTGTTTGGAAGTCAAGAGTAAAGAAGTTTCTGCATAGACACTGCAAAGAAAGATGAACTATGCTTTGTTGGCATGCCCAGTTGAGCCTAACTTTACTCTTCATTCCTTGTGAGAAGCCCATCCGAACTGTAATAGAAAGTTATTCCCGGGCACTCCCTTTCTCTTCCATTGGCTGGCCTTGCAAAGAGGAAGCATTTCCTATGGTGATTTGGAATATCCAGAGCCACCAAGGGGGACATAGCTGGGCACAGAGCTTCCCTTTGACCCCAGGAGACTCTCTCCTTCCCTGGCTCTTTATTATACCCCTTCTGCTTCCTTTACCCTCAGGAAGCCWGATGTTTTTAAAGAAGAAGGGACACAGAGCTTCCAGAACACTGCGGAGACAGGCCTACCAGATTGGTGAGCACTGTTTTTAAACCACTTGGGACGTTGAGGCACGTGCATGCTCACAGGCAGGCTCAGCCAGGTGTCTGTCAGGGCAGAGCCTGGAGCATGGATTCTACCAACATTTGCTGTACAGGAGCAGATGGTGTTTTATTCTGTCCATTAAGTAGCACTGCCTTTTCGGTTAAGTTCTTATGCACCAGTGCACTGTAGACTTATATGGCTCCACAACATTGATAAAATTAAAATGTTTATGTTACTCATCAGTAGMAGCAAACATCTTTGTCCATCAAGGCTTTTTCCTTTTAAAAATTGAGCAAATTGAGGGAACACCTGCTTGAAGGTAGTAGTGGAGTACAACTCCAGGAAGTCACTATTAATGATTCTTCAGTCATTACAGAAGTTGGACTTCCAACTCAGGATGTTCCTAGGAGCCTGTGATACCAGCATACTTGGTTTTCCACTACTGTGCTGATCATCTTAAGCAGGCTAACTGGAACATTCAGGAAATCTCTAAACTATGCACTATGCATTTTTTCCAAAATACATATGCAGTTAAATACTACATCTTACTTAGGGAGATTGGCTTAATAATATAGCTTAATTTTCAGAACTTACCCCCTAGAACAGACAGGCCCAAGGAGCAGGAGTGATAACAGAGGGAGAGTCAAACACCTCCCTCTGAAATTTCCTTCCATTAATAAACACAAAAAATCATTTTTTATAGTTTCATTCATGTAGGAAATAAAAATTGAATAGAACCAAAATCCTATTGGAAGCTAGTACCTGAAAACTTCAGCTGTAAGGATCCTTACTGGGGTAAATGGGCCCATTTTTGTAACAAAATGTTGGAGGATTAGGTTGTAGCTTAATGTTTGCTTTGCACACTGGAAAAACAAGTTTCTGTTCTCATTACTGAGTCAATCTGCCATATCCTTAGTTTTCAAAAAACTTGTTCTTGTTTAACAATTAGTTGTTCATGCTAAGCCAGGTTGTAATAAATCTAGGTTTTCCTTGTATAATGGACTAAAGTTATCAACCAACTAGAACATTTTGCTATACTATACATCCCAAAAACTTAAATTATGAGAACCTGCAGTATTCAAATAATTTTAGATTAATGTGAAGAACATGACACAGACTGTCTGCTTTATCTGAAATTACTTAAAAGATGGACTCTGCCAGCAGGTGATGGACTTGTACTTCCTCATGCAAGTTCACACCTCATTGCTACTGCCTAAAACATTAAATGAGCCTTTGGGCTCTTCTAAGCAGTGTGAGGGAAAGCACCAACAAAATCCARCCCCTAAAATAAGCCTTGCCACCCAAAGCATGACCAATAAGAAAATGCTTCTGCTTCCAGAGCAGGAGAAAAGGCAGTGGACGTTTTTTTGCATTAAAAACGTCTTAGAGCTTTAGAGAATAAGGTCCAGTATTGTAGACACAAGTGAAGTTCTAGTTCCTTCCACTKACTAACAGCTGTCAAAAAATGGAGYTGCTGGTCTCAAACAGGATAAGTTTCTCAGTTCCTTCTCTTCRCTTGTTTCTGRTACTGTAGTTGACTCTTCTTTGCGGATTTGTATTTCGTTTTAGCAAACAAAAATCATACTTCATTTAACATTTTCTAAAAAATAACTATTTGTTTTAGGACACAGATGATGACAGAGTGTCTTCCATATCATTTCCAATGACTTCCAAGTAATTTTTCTTCTGGAGACAGACATTTTTCCAAGTGGTTAAGTTATGATTCTGTAAAAGGTGGAGCTTTCTGGAGAAAGCTTTCATTTTGAGGCATTGCTTTTAGGGACTGCATTTCTACCTGTCATAAAGACATCCATACTRTAGATCAATAGCAGTTACACCAGTTTACATGGGGGATGGGTTTACTTAAAATACCTTTCTAATTTATTTACAATTTATTCTTATATTAAAGCTAAAGTGAAATGAAAAGGTAAGAAATTCTGAACAGTGCCATTTCACCATGTGTCMGATTTGATGATACTATTTGCTATATATAAACAACTGGCACTAATTACATCCATCATATATTTTACTTTCAGTTGTRTCAATGTAAGCCAATGCTCATATTTCATGAGTGCTCTAAATAAAATAATTGCAGAATCACAGTTGCCCTCACCAGTGCACTGACATMTTTACAGATGAGCAATGTCTTTGGCATTGATTATTGTATTGTGGGATGTAATCACAGTCATATTATTTCAGCCCAGCTACCACTGTTGAATATTTTCTATTCTGAAAGTGAAAACTTTTCAGTGAATCCATATCGATTCCCTTCCTTTGTAAGAGGGAAGATAAAATAAAAATCTTTACCAGTGTAATCCCATCCAATTTCTTAGAAAAACTAATGGATTTCTGGTGAGTGTACTGATAAGGTTCATTATCCTCAGTAAGCAAAATAGCCAGGGATAGTTTTTTAATTAGTGGAAACCAGCAGTTATCAGGCTGCTTCTTTCACTCAGAGGACACACACTGTCTTGGATTTAGAGTGAATTAAGTGCTCATGGGTTAGTACAATGGCACAGTACCTGAGGACAGTTGTTATCAGTGCTTTGATCCTGTTCTTTCAGCATTGATGGAAAAAATTACATTTYACAATGAAGTGCTTGGAGATGAATGTACACAAGCATCAGAGAAGGATGTGATCCAGGACCCTTCACTCTGGAATGTGCCCATAGTACATAAACACCTGGCTKCTGTACATGAGACTTTTCCTGTAGCACTCTATGGCTATCTGTTTTTCTGACCTCTCTGAYCTCTTTTCATTCTGGCATGTATATGAGTGGGAGTCTTCTGAAGCAGGTCATGGAAACAGTGGAGGAAAATATATTATCATCCAGTTACAGAAAAARCACTGAAGGCATTAGACAGGTCKCRTAGTTACTTCAGAAAAAAAGTTGAACTCTKAATTGCAGGTCTCTAATCAAAACCTCTATGAGTTCATAAATGTAACATGAAAARGAATGCTCTGCAAAACAACATTCTTATTTGCAGCAGCAGCAATTAAAAGAACAGCAAAATGTACCAAAGACAGGTTCTTTTGTATTACTGTCAAATAGACCGAACTTAACATAGTCATGTTGAACAAACCAAAAGCTGCTGYAATCATTCCAGCTTTCCTCACAAGCTGGCTTATTTTCCTAGGGAAAACATATTGCACCTGTTCAGAGTGATCCAAGGAAATACCACAGAAGGTAGAAGGAAGATACATTGTGAGAACATGATAAAATGCTCTTGAGAATTTTGAAACAAATACAGTTTCAGAAGTGTGTCCATATGTTACTACATACACCATCAAAACTGGATTTTCTTCTGCTTTCAAAACTGTACTAGTCAAAACACAGAATTCTTATTACGTTCAAATATTCATTCATTGAATTACATTCATTGAAATGTATTCATCAATTTACATTCAGTATTACATTCTACAGAAGGTGGATTTTAGTTGGCTGGAAATATGGCATCTATTCACCATTCTGCATCCTGCAAATAACTGACATGCAGAATAATCCTCTTGGCCAGGAGGTGAGAAGTGGGTGACAGACTTTGTCTTTATGCCTTGCTGCATTCATCTATTCCATTTGAAATTTGTCACCTTAAYTGAATGAAAGCAGTTAAAAAAAAAAAAGTTAATCATAAAGGATCAAATCCATATTCCATCTTTCCTCAAGAAGAAATATCATTGAGCTTGATGAGATCTCTGAGTACAAGTAATCTGTTGGTTATTTGATGAAAATTTTACTTTGGTAAATTCATTGTTATTTTGGAGGGGTTGGGGATTTTTTCAGATGCAGAACTAGAAGCTTGATTGGGATCTTTGCATGCAAGGGGAATTTCTAGGAGGCCTTTGTACTTCAGTTAAATCTGTTCTTCTGGGATATCTGTTCAGGAGAAAAGAGAGCTCATAAGATGCAAAAGTAGTACAAATCACTGTTGCCAGTTTGTGGGGACATACCCAGAATGTGCTAAACTCAGGGCACCTCCAGGCAGCACTTAGACTTTTGAAGTTTACAGTCAACTACTGTAGTCTAGAGAGCAGCTGGTCTGCTTTCMTCTTTAGTGTGATTGTGTGGGATCACTGCTAGCATTTCTGTTTTCACTGTGTGTCCAGGAATCTGTAGCTCCTCAGAATCTGTGAAGATTCATGTCTTTCAGCATAGAACTGAAATACCTGAGGTACTGTCAAATAAAGTAAAACAGTGGGCAGGGAAGGTTGGCCAGCTCTGCTTCTGAACTCACAATAGACACTTGTGCATGCAACTGGTGCGTTACGGTGCATGTGTATCTCTGTGKCTGTGTCCTGTGTCCCTGTACAGCACACAGGGCTGAGTGCTGAGTGTGATGGTGCATGCACTCATTTGGCAAGTTCAGGTTACCAGAAGGCCTGGGTTTGTAACAGCCCAGGCTGCTGCCTAGGGAAACACAACAATCACAAGTGTTTCTGTGAGTCACCCAATGGTAACGCAAGGACTGGAAATGACTGTCAGGTAATGAGGGTGCATTGAATGAATGAGACTACTGTGGCAAAGAACATGGTGAAAATGATCCCGGAAATTAATAATGAACTACGGATTTTGTGCTGTGACAAGGTCTTGGTAAGTCRGTTCTAACTACAGGTTCCAGTTTGATTTTACCAGGGATCACTCATTTTACTGCRGAGTGGTAGGTGATTTTTTGAACATTTGCTATTACTTGTTTTCTAAACTAAATTATAAAACTAAGCAGTTTAATTGCATGTATCAAACTGCTGCTGTTAAGGGTTGTATCACAGAAAAAGCTGAGAGATTTATAATTAATGACAGTGAAGCACAACAATAATCAGCGAAAGTGAGTTAACAGACACTGCTTTCTATGTGAAAGAGAAAATTACACTGTAATTTAGGGTACTTCAAAATGGCACTTAAAACACAGAGAATTCTTTGGTCTTGACTATAATGTAGCTATTTCTTATGAGAGTGGAAATGAGAAAATTTACATGGCTGATGTCTGTTTTAATGAGGSTTGCATCATTTTCTTGTTCAAGCTCTTAAGCTTTCTGATACATCATTTCAGTTCAAAGACAGCTCACTTGACCGCTCAAGTGTTGAATAAGTTTTCCACAAACTAACTCTGAGAATCAAAATTTTTCATTAATCCAGAAGGTGTCCTACTCTACTGCCATGCTGCAAGTCCTCTCTTCAAATCAATGAAATCAAATGTCAGCTGCAATGTTATGCATCTGCTTACTGGATGCATGCTGCTGCCATTATTTAAGTTACCCTCCAACTAATTTCCTGTTCCATAAAACTGGATATAGAGGGTCAGGAAATTGGGGTAGTATAGTAGCTACTCTGTTTATTAGACTGACAAAATTATCAGGGAATATAAAGATATATTTAAAAATATATTCACTCTTTATGCAAATTGCTGTGTCTGCAGCTTCAGAAATGTACAATGTATGTACAATACACATAACATTTGTGCAGACACAATCTTCTCTAGGTATTGAGAGAAAGTTTGGATCTGTTCCTTATTTATATATATTAATAGTTTCCTAAACTGTATGCAGTCCTTACAGAACAAATTTTCTTCAAGGTGTTTACAAAAGATGATCAGATCTGATCTGAAACATCTAACTGTTTTAATAAGTTGCAGCATGTTAGAAAAGCACACTCTGTTTTGTGCACAGTGTCATTCTTACTTTGAAAATCACTCAATGAAACAGAATAATTTTGCCATCTGGAAATGAGACTTCCCATCAAAATCTACTATACATTGATTAAGGTATTCACGATTATATTTGAGCACCTATTACAGTTCTGTCCATGAAAGAAAAAAATCCAATAGGAGCACCTTGACAAGATATTTGAAAGGATTTATCATAGTAAATTAGACCATTAGTCTGGCTAATCCAGTATCCAGCCCCTAGCAATGGCTAGGGCTTCAGAATGTAGCTTCTGATTTGTACCTGCTCAAACAGTGAGTGTTATTTCTCAGCTTCATGGCAATTTGTCACATGCCTTTTAGAATATGCCTTGTCATGTTATGCTCAGATGCCAAAGTTATCTTGTCTATTCTTTCAGTATTCAATAATTTTCATTATTTATTTCCTTTCCATGTCAATCTGAAGGAGCTGCTGCTCACTGTTACACAACAAATGAAACAAGAAGTAGTATCTTGTTATGTGTTATATCAAATAAGTGTTCATAYGCAATTTGAGTAATAACTGCATTAAATCCATGAAAGGCAAGGAAARTGTTCACTACAGAATTGATTGAAAATTGCAACAGGTGACTCCTGTAAAGAGTGTTTGGTGTTAATTGCAGAGTCGTTGAACTACCAGCCTTAAGTACAAYATAAAGTTAAGCAGACCTGAGTGACAAAAATAAGTCTGCCAAAAATGGCAAAAAGAGAGACAGTTCCTGCAAAAGCAAGGGTTCTGTCTCCTTTCTTCAAAATAAAAACCAAACTAACATAGTCATTCTGTTTATTACAACAAAATTTCTGTCACATCTTTCATTTTGAAGAATTAAATACATTATGTTAAAGATGATATGCAGTGCTATAGGYTGGATAAAATTTTAGAGGGAGAATTTTTTAATTCCTTATCACTAAAAATGCATTATACAAATGGTAAAGAAAAGAGTAAAAAGTTGTGAGGAAAAGTATGTTATACAGATCATTCTACTGGAAATTCTAAAAATGCACCAAGTCCAGTAATAYTCAACTTTTTAATAAAAATACCTGAATGATGAACTAGTCTGGAAAGATGTGGATTGAGTTCTCACCTGGTTTGAGTTTGGGCTGAGGACAGGGGGAGTTTATTGATTTTTTTCCCTTCATTAAGTGATTTTATGTATATACAATCACATATATATATTCCATATGTAAGTAGCTACATTTCCATTCTATTTACCTKCAATAACAATTAAATATGTATTTGTTTCCTTTTTACTGTTCCTCCCGTTATTCTCAAACGACAACCAAAAGCAACCACACTTCATTATCCAGAATTAGCATGTCCCCAGACAGGTAGCCTTGCTACCTATGAATAACTTTTAAATAATTAAACAAGATAAAATGAAACAGCCTGCAGCAAGCTCCAGATAAGATACTCAGTTCCATCACAAGCTAATGAGAAAAATGTACTGAGAGCAAGTCTTAGGCTGGTGATAGTGGTGTATGTCTGACTGCAGAGCCTCAGGAATGGCAATATCGACCTGTGTAATGAATATGGATTCCTTGCTGCATTCCAAGCAGCCTCATTGGCAAGGATTAGGGAATACTTAGATCTTGAGAGACTTTTCCTGTTACAAACTCTATAATAATCTGAAATTATACCTTATTACATACCGATCCTACTTAGACGATCAGTATGAGACAAAGGRTTGTGAAGAAGTAGCCAACAGCAGACTTGCTTCTTTTTACTCTCCTTCAAAGACTAGTGAAGACCTGTGCTGGGTTTTGGAGAAAATGATCCTGAGTTTTCAGAAGAGGCAACTGATAAAATGTCTCGGTTTCCTAAAGAACAAAGGAGGTGGTTTTGCTTGACCCATGTTTTATATTTTCTGCCAAAGAAAACAGAGTTTAGGCATTCACTGTAGGCCATTAAGAGTATCCAGGATATCCAGTACCCTAAACAAAAGTCATGATGGCATGCCACAATACTGCAGCCACTGTTTCCTTTTAAAAAGGGCTAGTGTATAATTCTGTCTTATTGATTGCAGTCTAAAGCAATCTGTCTTTCTTYCTGCTGTAACTTGTTGCCTATCTCTTACAAAGCAATCTGATCCAGAGAGGGGTTGTAACCCAGCACAGATAATGAAGTTGTGCAGGATGACTACACTGTGACACCAAAGAACATGCTGCTTCAGTCACTGGACATAGTGGAGAAAGAGTCCTGAGTSTTTGTGCCTGTAAGGCATTCCCAGGGTAGAGGACACCTGAGGGCTCTCTGGTGAAGAGATGAGCTGTCTCAAGGTTCCATGCACTCAGGTGTCTGCTTAGTGAGGGAGCTCAGTCATTCTTGTGTCTTAAATTGTAGTGCACGCAACACCATGTCATGCTACCTGCTGCTTATATTTCACTGAACCATGGGCAAAGAAAGGATGCTCAGAGGAAAGAATTTTTCTTTCTGAGACATTTGGAAACACAGTTTCTGCTAGTCTCTGAAAGGTCAACTAGAACTGYATAATATTCCTGATTTTCCTGTTTTCGGCTCTCACTTCAAAATTACTSCTGTGGTTCTGCTTTTGAGTGAAATATGGCCAAAGTTCCCAAAGGACAGCCCACATGCCATTTTCAGCCTGCAAAGCCATCATCACCCACAATGGCATTTTGTGATTGTAATATGGCATTTACCTGAGGTGCTGTACTCCAGGTGAAGGCCTTTACACAGKCAATGGTATTATTGCCCATTCTTCCAATTGCATTCTAAGAARGAACAGCCTCCCATGGAAAACTTTCAGGATCATTGAAGTGAAAAGCGTACTGTTGAAGAGACATTGCAGACAGTCATAGCAATTGGTTGATTTCTGGTCAGTTCACAAATGTTAAATGCAAAGTATGAATTTAATATATTGGAAATTCTTTTTGATGCCTTTGGACCTGTGCRAGTTGCATTACTGAGTTTCTCCACTGCATACCTTGAAGCTCTGTATTGGCATCAGTACTRCTCTTAGATATCTCACTTCAAAGTTTCCAGTTTAGAATTAAAATGGAAAGAAAAGAGTTAGGACACCAATATCCTTCACAGTTATACTCTTTATGTGGAAGAGTATCATAGTCCCCCTTACATTGCTTCTCCTGAAGGTGAATAGACTTTTTAACAGGATGGATTGTGTTTTTGCAAGCTGAAGTGCATGTACAGGTGGATTTGCTGCAGAGCCCTCTAACAGAGAAGATAAACAATTTACTTCCACTTTTCATTGATCAAAGTTTGAAGTGGAACCTCACCCCGATTTCTGCACACATAAAATAAGCTGGACAGGTAGTACTGCAGCCCTGCTAGGTGGTCAGTAATTTTCATGTGTCAGATCCCTTTATRTAGCCCTGTCAGTTCCTCTAAGTCACAATTCATATTACTACCTACTGTGCCGATTGCATACGCTCAGACACTTGTATTAGCATTCTTCAGTCACAGTCTAAAGTTCAAGCTTAGACAGAAAGGTGCCAAGCAGTGTGGCATTCACTTAATGAGATTGCAGTTCTTGGTTTGAATTGAACAGTGTGGAATCTCAAGAAGGAAAGGACCTTGTATTACTGTCTTAAAACACCTTGTTTTATTTTCTTAAAACACGTGTTTATAGGCATCTGTATGTGTGCACACAGACTTATATTACAACTCACAATGATTCCATGCCACTAATCTGCTTGCCTGTTCTCTCCTGTAGCCCAGATGATTTACTGAATGCACTGAATGAGGGTATCAGCCGTGCTGATGTGATCATTACATCAGGAGGTGTATCTATGGGGGAGAAGGTATGCAAAATTTAACTTTAAAATTTAAGTTCCACTATATGTAATTTTAAACCAGATCTGTTGTCCAAGCTATTRCCTTTGTATTAATGGTTCTTAAAAAGGGTCTTTACTTTTATTGGAACACTTACATGTGAATTACTTAAAATAGTCTTCAAAGCTCATTCCCTTTGTTCTTGTTATTGTACTATAGTACAACACAGTACAACAGAGAAGATTTTARTGTTTATATGATTTACCAATGTGGTTTTTTTAAGGAATTATTTGTGTAGACGAGGAACGTGCTGGGTTAATAGCACATGAAGGCAACAGACTTTATTTTTAGAGCAGGCAAAATGTAGATAGAATTAAGATACTTTGAAAGTACTTCAGAAAGCAACCTGAGCACATAAATAGCATTTCTTTACTCAGCACATCTGTTTCCTGAATGTGCCAAAGTTCTATCTGTTACAAAAATAGTTTTATCACGTTTTGCCCCTGATAGTCCTTCAGAGGCAATACATATGAGACCCAGTGAGCTGATATATTTGCCTTTTGAATCATTAACAGAATTGTTGATTGAGTTCCTGTTGATAATCCCTGTGCCAAAACCATCAAAGAAAATAGGGATACACAGATGCTGATGGGGCATAGATGAACCTGCAGGACATTTATTAATCATGACTTATGCGAAGGAAAACTCAGATTACTTTTTGATCCCAGGCTGAATCTGTGAGTTTGKCAGGTAAAATAAACATCTTTTATAACCAACAGATACTAAAGGCAGTCATTAGGAGATGGGAAATGTGTGCTGGTTTTGTCTGCTTTTCTGAGTAGAAATCATATTGTTGGATACATAATGAAAATGGMTAATTAGTTAAACCAGTGCAAATTGCTTTCAATTACTCCCATTGTCTTCACTRTTCCTAGAAAAATAATCAAAGACAAGTACTGGTCTCTAAACTGGAAATGTGGCAACATAGTACAGACACAGGAACATTGAGAAGTGGCTGGACTGCTGAATTACAAACGGTCAGAGCTTCTGGCAAATTTCTCTCTGGTCTGATTTTGAGGCAACAGCATAAAGGCTCTGTATTCCAATGATGGTGTGCCCTCTCATACKGCACTTCCTATGGTTTTAATGAAATAGCTGTGAGTTCATGCCTGGCTGAAATGAGTTGCTGCTTTCCAAGTATTTGAACACACACACACACAAAAGGGAAAATTGCAAGAGAATTTCAGATTTACTGCTTTGAAAGTCTGTCTTCACAGATGACTGTTAGGGYCTGTTTCTTTAGCCTCACTAAACACAATAGATAGGGTACTAATCTTTAGGCACAGCAATTTTCAATAGAAACTAAGCAAGTAACTAAATTTATTTTAGTAACTGGACCAGTTGTGTTTGTGCAAAATAATTYAACTCATTCACAAGCTATCCAAAGTTTTTTCTTTCTAAGGAATGTTAAACCCAACCACTGTGAATTAGACCATTAGACCCAAGGAATTACAGAAATGACAGTATCYTGGAAAACTATGATTTCTACAGTACAGTATTGATTTCAAAAGTACTATGAGATCTGAAAATCTGCAACTAGATAGCTTCCATGGCAAAAGTTAAATAATTTGATCATTTCAAGTCTTAACTTTGAACCATAGAGGTTTTTTCTGTCTTTGACATAGAGAATGTTTTGGTATTTGGAATAATAGGTATTTGCAAGGTGCTCTAAGTTTCTGATGCTGCAGATAAATTTTAAGGAAATATATGTCCTTGTGGAGTCAAGTTGGCACCTAAATTAGTCTGTTCTTTATCTCTTCTTTTCAAAAACTCTTTCAAATACTGGAAATTCCCCACTGGGCTGTAGCACTTTCAGGATATGCAAATTTTCATCTTCACTTGATATTAATTAATTACTTTGAATGCTTAGATCATGTAAAGCCACTTTGATGTTACTTAATTTTATTTTTTTTTTCATTTAAACAGGACTATCTTAAACAGGTGCTGGATATTGACCTTCACGCACAGATTCACTTTGGAAGAGTTTTTATGAAACCAGGGTAAGAAATCTTTCTGCTTAGGCAGCCTAGATAGAGATATTGGGCCAAATATCCTAGTGAAGTGTTACAGTAGATTTCACTTTACCAAATACACTGCAAATCACAGGATGGATATATGTGGGAAAAGAAGCAAAATCAGTGCTTGTCAGATTAGTCATATCTTTATGGGTGAAATTAACTGGAACAGAGAGATTATTTTTTTATCAGTAGGAGATAGTTCTCTGATAACTGTTGCAAATCACGTTTGGGGACTGGTGGGAAACCAGCATGATAAAAAACATTGCCACAATATTCAGTGTGATCACAGAGCTAACACTGATATTGACATTACCATGAAATAAATAGGAAATGTAAGGACATTAAATGGACAGTTTGCTTAAAGAGTATCTCATTTCACTTCCAAATTTGTATAAATTATATTCTTATAAGCAGTTCCTTGAGAGAGGTGGAATGACAGCTAATTTACAAAGCTTTGTCTTATTGGCATATTGAACGTAGTAATTTTAGAGTAAGCACAGTTCTTTATGAGTTTAGTTTGCCTCAGAAAACCGTTTCAGCATTGCATTCCTGTGCTGTGACACTGCTCATCAGTGAGTCTGGAAGTGTGCTTTGTAGAGAGAATGAAAATTGCATGTGTTGAAAATASAGTTCCCTTTTCTTCGCAGTACAGGAGTGGAAGTATGTCTGCAGCTATGCCTCACTCCCTGTGGAGGGCAGTTTGTTTGCAAGCTGGGTCAGAATGGTCCAGCTACAGAAAATCAAGCACAGCTTTGCAGAATGATTCCCTCTAGCCCAGAACTGTTGTCACGGAGCAGAGCTGCAYGTGGGTGTTTGCTGTGAAAACAGACAAATTCTTTTACTGTCTCTGCATACAATCTGGTAAAGAACTGCGTGTGGGCTTTGTGCCTGTGCTGCTCCTACCACCACCTCCCTTCCCCAAAAGGAATGAGTGAGCTGAAAGCTTCTTTCTTCCTGTGGTGGATGTAGCCCAGGCGTGGAAATTGCTCACTGCTTCTGTGGTACTGCTACAACTGATGTAGGGAAGTCCCAGAAGCAGGATCTGCACTCCAGTCTCTGCTGCTGACAAGAATGGATAACTTGATTCAGAGAATTCAGAGTATTAAATTCTRGTTCTGGCTTGAAAGCAAACACTCTTTCTTCTGCTGATCCCTCTGTAGACCTGTAGCAATAAACTTTAATAAATAGATAGAAAAACTTGAAGAAGTTTTTTTTTTTCCCCTGAATGTCCCTTTTCATTTTATGCCACAAGAAAGGTATTTCTTATTGTTACCAAAACATTTGATTRTCTGATCTTACTGAGAATGTAAACACTCTCTTTTTCACTGTAGTRCACTTTTTGCTGTAGTGCAAAAGTGAATACTGTGTCTTGGGGTTTTTTAAGTGCATCTTAAAAGATTGCAGATTGTGGTTATCATATTAGGAAAAAAATCCCTTGAGTAAGTTCCAAGAGCAAAGTCAGAATTTGTTGTATGCTTGTATTTTGGTGTGCTTCATGAGTGCAGTGTGATTCCTGGGGTTTACCATCCCTCCACTTKCTCTGAAAGTTGCTGAGCTCATGTAAGGTTATCTTGTCTAGTTGCACTGCCAGAAGAAAGTACTGGAAGATTTTACCAMTGATGGTAAATGGCACATGAGAGTTCAGTTTCCAGTAAATATGAATTAGYAAACTTGTCTTCTTAAAACTTCTAGTTTAATACCAACAAAAAGTAATTATTCTGCCACCACAAAGAGAGGATTATAGCTCCAGTATGGAATTAGCAGCAGGTGCTAATGAGAGAGAGATGTCCCATTCTGTTTTCTTYTCCAAATGTTTTAAATAATATAATAATGTTCAGTCAAATTCTAATGCAGATATTAAATAACTTTCTTTTTCCATAGCCTGCCAACAACTTTTGCAACTCTGGATATTGACGGTGTAAGAAAAATAATCTTTGCGCTGCCAGGTAAGATGTTTTGTGGATTATCTTTSTTGCTGTACAAAGATGCAGTATTTTGCGTTAAACAGAATAGCAACACTTCTAAGCACCTGTGCCTGGTGTTGGCCCCTAAGGAAAGTGCCTGTAAGATTTTCTCAGAAATTTCCAGAAGAGATGGATTTACAGGGATGTGCTAAGGAGTTTTTTTTCTCCCTGTCCTCAGAATTTTCTGGTACAAATCTTAGGATTTCTTCCATACAACGATTTCCTTACATTTTTTACAGGGGTGCTTTTTCCTGCAGCTCCCTCCACYTTCACCATAAATATCCTGTGTGTGCAAGTCAGTGCATCCACTCTCCACACTGAAAATGGAAATAAAAATGAGGAAGTACCAAGAAACATGTCAGAAAATATTTTTATTTATCGTTCTCATACTGTCAGACCAAAGGGGGCAGCACAGCTGCACCGCTGGCCGTTTGAAGGCACTCATTCAGAATAAACATTWCCTTATGGATTTCTGTCCTTCTTAATGAGGAGGAATTTATTTTATTYTTACTGCTCTGGCTTTCCATGAATTTTGACCATACAAGGAATCCYATTCTTGAGAAGCTGGTGGTTTTGAGAGGCTGGTGGTTTTTAGATTTATCAAGTGCTTCTACCCTCTCTTGTTTTAGTTCCTGCAATACATTTTCTTCCAGGGGAGAGATCAAAGGAGCATCTGTCTGATCATAGTATTTGTTTTAAAACTGTCATCTAGGGAAGTCCAGATAAGTAAGACAGTGGTGTTTGACAGGTGGTCATRCACCTCTCTTGTGAGTCAACAGAAAACATATAAATCAGTAGGATTCTCCTAAGAATTTGTCCTAAAACATTTTTCCACTCTGTTAGGGAACTTAAAGTTAGTTTTCCCTTGGTGTCTGGGAACCATTTGTCATGAATAAAGCACCCTGTGAAGTAGAATCAGTAACCATACACAATGAACCCAGCCCCAGGCCCAGACAAACGTAGGCATAGGACAATGGCAGTGAAGCCAGAAGCAACTGGTGGGGCCTGAGAAACATAAGGCAGTTCTGGTCAGAGCAGGACTTGAGCACAGCATAATCCACAGTGTAGCTTTCTACAGTTGTATTTGTCACATGCCCCTTGCCACACACTGCATTCTGTGCTGTATGCAGTATATAGCATGGAAAGCTCTGTAGAGTCCTTTAGAGTGAAATTGCTGTAAAAACATGAGTTTACTTTCAGCATTTCTCAGAGTAAATCAAGAGCACATCACAGCCAAGTGTTCTTTGTCCTGCAGGCAACCCTGTGTCAGCTGTYGTCACCTGCAATCTCTTTGTTGTTCCTGCACTGAGGAAGATGCAGGGTATCCTGGATCCTCGGCCCACCATCATCAAAGCCAGGGTAAGAAGCTTGTCCTCTACTTAAAAATTCTCTGAAGATGTTGAAGCACAGCRCTTTGGGCTCTGAAAAACTGTTGTGTTTGTGGAATCTGAGCCCTAGACTAGTTCTGGCAGTGGAAGGATATTCACACAACTAGAGATACAATCTCAGTCTCTGTTAATGGTAATATTCAGACCCATAATCTTTTAGAGTTAGATGGCCATCTAATGGAGCAAGATATACAGGTGCACAAGCAACCATTTGCCAGTCAGGCAGGAAGGACACTCTCCCATTTAAAAAAGACATTTGTTTTAGCCTATGGTGAAAAATGCACAGTAATCTTCGAATACCTAGAGCTGGATARTTCTGTATTAGTAATAGAAAATACAAGCTTTGAAGCCTTTTTGTTGCATTATTTGCACAAGAAACCCACATAACCCCCACCCTAAGCAATATAAATCCCCTAAACTCTTCTCACTTTTCTAATCAATCATGGATATTGTAATGCTACTTAATACAGATTCAAGACATGTTTTTATAATGTATTCTTCTTCTATTTTTTATTCAAMTAAAGTACCAAGGATTACATCACCTTTTGTAGTTTTCTTAGTATTCTTGGCTGTGCACTTTCTCTCACAGCTTATCCCGTGTCTCTCTTTTGCCATTCCTCAAGCATCCAGATTTTATCACACAGCTAAAATATTCTGAAAGAGAGAGCAATTTGCAGTGACCTTCACTTTTGCATGAATTTTCCATTATGAGCCATCCCGTGTATGTCTTTTCATTTCAAAGACTGGCCATTTTTCTTTTGTCAGAACTAGCAGGATTTTGAATATGAATAACATTTTATCTTTATGTAATGTAATCCAGAGACCAGACGTTTTCTGGAGGAGTACTATCTGTAAACTCTCACTAAAGGAACAGCTTTGGAATATTTCACTTAACGCATGTAGACTCCTTCACACACTTTGATCTTGTAATATCACAGTTGTATTTCCTTAAATACTGCAGTGTCTGCCTTCTACAGCTTTTAATCTTGCACTAGACACCATCTGACTTCAAAATGCAGGTTTTTGAAAAGACTGTTTTTAAGGAGAAACAATTGAGCAGRTTATTCCATTATCTTAGACAATGCAATGTGAATGCATGACATGTTCATCCTTCTTTTTTAATCCTACAGTTATCATGTGATGTAAAATTGGACCCCCGCCCAGAATATCATCGGTGCATTCTGACTTGGCATCACCAAGAACCACTACCTTGGGCACAGAGTACAGGTCAGTGCCCAGTCACACAGACTGACAGACACTCACACRTGTCCTTGCCTTCCTACAGATGTTTAGGAACAACCAAGAGAGTGTGTGTGTTTTTTCATAGAACTTCCTTTCTGCCGACTGATTTGTGACACACTTGTGCACAYGCATACACGTACATTAGTGCAAAATTCAATGCTGATGTGACTTGTCAATTTAACCATTAAAGCATCCTTTCTTTGAATAACCTGCCTTTACCTGCCTTTATACACACACACAAACACTACACATATATGTTTGCATATGAGCACACATTCTTTTTTGTAAACATCCAGTAAGCTTATTTACWGTAAGGTACATTTGCTTCCTTTTGCTGTTGAGCATGTACTGCATAAACACAAGTTGGGGCAGARGTAGGAGCAATACAAATAAAAGTGTGATTTTAGCTGAACTGGAAAAGTAGGAAAGATAGCAGAGGCTCTAGATATTCTCTTAAAACAGACTAAGGATTTATTAGTCATGTTTGCTACCTTGGAATACTTCTGGATACTTAGCTGCAGTTGAGGTGGATACTAGACTTGAATACTGTTTTAGCTACGTACTGCTACAAAGCTGACTTTGCAAGAGATTTAGGTACCTAAACAACTACTTGTCTTTTTGCTACATCCCAATTGTTCAATAAAAAGCACTATATATGAATCTCCACCAGGAAAATATTAGTTCCTGACTGTTTACTCAGGAAGTTCTTACCACTAACTTTTAAGATCACACAACCTCTGACACATTTCCAGGTGTAAGTCAAGTTATTACTTATATCTACAATTCTGTATTTGTTCTAATTCTCTTTTATTGTGCATCAGTTCTTTCCCTACACAAKCAGACTGTCTGGAATGATTTCTCTGTCAGTCTGGAAGTCTGAAAGCAAAAAAACTAAAGTGAATTACTTTTTATTGCATTTTCATTTTTRTCAGTAAAACCAATATGATAGAGTTTGTATTCAGGATGTGTTGTGAAGCTCAGTGTCCAAAAAAAAACCCATTCTTTTGAGATGGTATGTTATGGATTTTAACACAGCCAACCACAAGAACAGGGTCCAACCTTAAAATCCYACTGAAAAATATAAAATCCAAACGAAGGTTTGGAATTCCTCTTTTATTAGTTTTCAGATTACAGCTTGAGCTGGGTGTCCCTGGATAGATTGCACCCTCCAATTATACTTGTACCACCCAGCACTTGATCCCAAAGTCCAATCAGCTAATTCTGRTCCGTGGTCTCCTGATTTCTCTTTGGTTTTCCTTGTTGCTAGGCTGGCCTYCTTCTCAAATTACCTTATTSTCATGGAATTGTTTCCTTGGTCCTKATCTTCTCCATCCTGCTTGCATTTGCCAGGTCCAGCTAATTCTGTGTTAGAGCAGCATCGATTTTACTGAAAAGTTTATTCTCTTGTGAGCTCTTTCAGCCTAAGACTTCTACTGCTTCGACTGCTTGTGCTAAGCTGCTAATGTTAAATGGGAGTATCTGCAGCCCAGCAGAAAAGAACCTGGGGGTGCTGGTCAACAGCTGGATGAAGCAGTGTGTGCCCAGGTGGCCAAGAAGGCCAGTGGCATCCTGGCCTGTACCAGCCATAGTGTGGCCAGCAGAGCCAGGGCAGTGACTATCCCCCTGTACTCAGCACTGGTGAGGCCACACCTCAAATCCTGTGTTCTGTTCTGGGCCCCTCAGTACAAGAAAGGCATTGAGGTGCTGAAGAATGCCCAGAGAAGGGCAAGAACCTGGTGAGGAATTTGTAGAGTAATTCCTATGAGGAGCAACTGAGGGAGCTGGGGGTGTTTACCCTGGAAAAAAAGGAAAATCAGGGGAGACCTTCTCACTCTCCACAACCACCTGAAAGGAGGCTGTAGCCAGGTGGGGGTCGGTCTCTTCTCACARGCAACCAGCGACAGGATAAGAGGAAATGGCCTCAAGCTGCACCAGCRGGGGCTCAGGTTGGGCATCAGGAAAAATTTCTTCTTGAAAGGATGGTTAAACATCAGAACAGGCTGCACAGGGAGATTGTGAAGTCACCATCCCTGGAAGAGATCAAGAAACAACTGGACCTRGCATTTAGTGCTATGGTTTAGTTGAAATGGTGGTGTTCAGTCAAAGGTTGGACTCAATGATCTTGGAGGCTTTTTCCAACCTGAATGATTCAATTCAGAGAGAATAAAGTTAATCAGAGTTATTCTAGAACAGTATATTAACAACATTCTAGAATCTGCTGATTTTAGTGTTTGTACAGCTGGAATAGGTGTAAAAAATTGAAAAATAAAGTAATTTTGATGGATTAGCAATTTACTAGAGCAAGGTACATGGTACAGATCATGTGAAAGGCTGGAAAGGAAAGCAGTCAGCAAAGGGAGTAATGGTTTTGAGAACCAGTGTGGGGAGAGGCTGACWAACTCGCCAGAGTTCTCTGTTTCCATCCACCTCAGAACAGCAAGATCCCTGCTCTGTGAATAAGTTAGCCACACAAACATCTTCATGATAACAGCTTTTGTTTGTTGTGCCATGTTGCAGCATTTGGAACTAACTGAAGACTTAAATTGTTCTCCCTCTCTCCTGCAGGGAATCAGATGAGCAGTCGTCTGATGAGTATGCGCAGTGCCAATGGACTGTTGATGCTACCTCCAAAGACAGAGCAGTATGTGGAGCTTCACAAGGGGGAGGTGGTGGATGTCATGGTCATTGGAAGGCTATGATGTCACCAGCAAGAGCGAAGCTTTGATGCATGTCCACATATCATTGACTGTATCCTGTAATATGCAACGGCACAGCTAGTTTTTCCGATTTGGATAAAAGTTGATCAGTATAGTCAACATCTTGAAATATATTTCAAATGGAATTTAAATAAATACCTTTTAAAAAAAAACCTTTAAAACAAATCTTAACAAAGAAATTTATTCTGATTATATCAAAGCAACTTTTTCCTTTTCTTGCAATTGCTTTGTGTGTTCAATGCTAGTTCTAATAGCGGTAGCTTTTAGTAGACAGCAGTAGGTGCCTGCAGAACTTGTGTTTTTTCTCATCTTTAAGATACAACTACTTATGCTCTTAAAACAAGGCTGTCTGCTTATTTATACTAGCGTAGACAACACTTGGATTTCCCTTATTAGTATGCTTCATAACCGCTTCACAGAGAGCTTCTGCTTGTTCTTTATCTTGTATCTCGTGTTGATGTGCACAGTGCCAAAAGCGGAGTGGCTGCACTGGGAACCCAATGAAGCCCCGAGGTTTTCTTACCTCGCTGCGCATTCAGGGATRTCTCTTGTCCCGGCAGCCACCCAGCTCAGTACTCTTGGGCAGTAACTGGATACCTTTTATTTCAACAAACAAAAAAATTGCTTCCTTAAGTGCTGACAGCCTTTTTAACCAATACATTTAAAGATGTACAGAACTAAAAACTAAAAAAAATCAAAGACTGATCTTGTACAGATATTAGTGTTACCAGCATTCGTGTGGAAATTAAATGAGCAGAGAAATAAAACTAATGTTAAACAACTCTGTACCATAACATTTTCTGTAATGATATTGAAACTTAAATGAATAAAAAAAATCCTCAATCATTATTTAAAATTTCACCTATTCAGCCTTCTTGTTTTAAACAAAAAAGTTGAGGGGTATTTGGGGTGGGGAAAAAGCATGGGGAGGAAGAGAAATMGTGTGTGCAGTCTAGGTCCTTCCCTCATGAGTGTCATTAGTAAACTGAAACCAGAGTGAGCTCTCTCTCACACCTCCCAAGTGACAAACTGGAAGCAGCATTTGGAGGCAGGGTGGGGTTACAATCAGACTAATCAGAGCTGGAGAATGCTTCTTTGCCCCATGTAAGTTGCATAGCAATTGCAAACAGCCCTTGTGCTGCACTATGGAATTTGAAAAGTGTTCTTCTTTTCACCTCCCCATGAGATAAGGACTTCTCAGCTCCCACTAGACTCTGTATTTTGGTAGCTTCATGATTCATCTGGGATTAGGACCATAGCAGTGCCCTACAACACGTTGCTTCTTGGAGTTCATAGGTAAAAGCTATCCCACCCAACTCCATTTGTGAAGCCAGAACATTTTTCTATATTATTTTTTTAATACTTAGTCAGGGAGCACACCGAAAATTTGGTTTAAACTCAGATTGACACATTGGACCAGAGCTGTAGTTCTATGATAACTGCAGAGGGCATCCCTCAGGCTGGTTTTAAAGCCAAAGTCTGTATGCTGTGAAACTCCCTGCACAGGCCATTGCAAAGGTTGAAGACAGGTGTGTTTGAAAGCAATCCAGGGATTGATTGTTCAGAGAAACAATAACACAACTTGCTTATCGTATTTTTTTGTTCTGGACTACATGTCCCCATTTATGATCTCTGTGTAGCAGRGATGATACCAAATTAAATTCATGGATGTTATTTKAAATGACRAAAGGAAGAAGGAGGTGAGTTAACKYATCTSTGAGCAATAATGAAGAACTGCCTATTATCAACCAAAGGATTATTTTAGTTAAGGGTTATTATAGGCAGCATGTATAATGAAAATCAGAAATTTATAAACACCAATAACCACAATTTGAGGGAAGATTGTTTACGCAGTTGGAGATGCTAGACAAAGATAAAAGGGAGATGTGAGGAAACCTAGCCAGAAAAATCTTAGGTCTGGTTTACATTTACAAATGTTGCTAAGAAGAGTTGGCACAATGCTATGTATAATGCTTGGCTACATTTAAACCATTTCTTGCCATGGTAACACTTTWAAACAAATGAATACATTGTAACAAACCAAGCATTTAGCCGTTCATCAGGGTTTTTTTTTCTGAAACATTGATACTATAAACTGCTCTAGCAATCCTGTTTTCTTGTAATAGACTCTGCTTAGTGTTCAAAATTTTATGCAAGAATATCAGCTTTGCACTTTTTGAGAGAGATGCTCAGAGCACAGGTTTCATTGACCCTGGAAGCCACAGCAGCATGTCAGAGAGGAAATCCTGGGAGCAGTACAATAAACAATTCTTACAGCTGTGTGTCAATTAACAAGACTAAAATCTGAAGAATTTGCCTTGGTTGTTGTAATATGAATGGATACAACTGTGATAGAAATAGATACATTCAAATTACATTTTTACTTTTAACATTCCCAGCTTACAGTATCGGGGAAAGTTGGAAGCTTCAGAAAAGAAATCAAGGACAAAGGGATCTTCAAGTATGTGGTTACTGTTGTTCAARGACTGAGATTTGTAAATAGAAATGTTTTAAAGAATAGTTTTCATGTTTTTACTTCTCTAGATAAGGATTTAGCACAATCAAAATAATGCCTTAACAAGAAGCAATGCCATTAGTGACTGAAGATGAGGTTGGTATTCCAACAGTTGTAGTTTTCTTCTTTTTACATTATTTTTTCAGTGCATGGAATGATCATGGGTAGAAATGTATGCAGTGGGCTTTCTGCATCCCATTCATCCAGCTGGAATAATCCTAAAGTGACCAGCAAAATCSTGCAGCAACTTTTGTATCCCAGCTACCTGGTACAAGCACCTTGACTGAACCCATGAATGTGAACCATCTCACAAAATTTGGCTGTAWTCACTCATATAAATACAAGAATCGACTGGTGTCTTCCAAATACTGATTTCTATACTTTAATTAACCAAATTACAAAATTAATTCTAACTTGATATTAAAATATGCTAAACATGAAATGTCTTTGATCCACAGGTAGCTATTGCAGATTTGTATGACTCCAGAGATTACTAATTAGCATAGACTCTTTTGACTTCTTGATTCTTGAGCTGAAGGGTTGCACTTGAAACGTTTTAAAACATGGATACTTCTTAAGGACAATATGCAAATGGAATCATCCAGCAGGTTCTGACTTTTGGCTCCCCAGCTTCCCAACTTGTGCACCAAGTATAAAGGTTTATAAATTAAGTGCACCTAGTATAAAGGCCTTCTTACACACGTTTCAGTCCAGGTTTTGTGTTAAATAAGAAAAATACATACGAAATCAAAACAAATACACCAGAKTTTTGTGTCCTTACCTAGTAAGAGTGCTGATATGTTTCCAGGTATCTGATTTGCAGTTAACAAAGAGAAGACATGGAAAATAAAGGTGAGATAGCAAAAAGCTGTAAGTATTGATTAAAGCTGAAGATGCTTCTCAGGAAGTGCATAAGGTGCATAAAAACTCACTAGCAATCAAGTTCAATAGCTGTTTTAAAGTCTCCTCCTTGGGTACGTGTATTTTATACATTTGGATATATAGCTTTGTATTTCCCTTGAGGAAATAGAGGTGGAAGAGTGTGAAAATGTCAGATGAGGAATCAGAGCCTAAATCAGTCTACATTATCAAGCAAAAGTTAGGGCTGGCACTAAATGATCCTTATACTCTTACCTGACAGGAATCTAGGAAGTAAGAGGGTAGATGTTGAAATGCTCAAGCACAAAATTTGCCAAAAACTTGATTTTGCCTTAGCTGTCAAATTGAAACTAGTTTTTATTATCGGGGAAAAAAAATGTGAAAATTGTCTGTCAGTTTTGCTGGCACTTTCCAAACATTTCTAATAGGCTTTTATCCCAAATAAATTCTGGGATATATTCCCAGTCTTCCCATAGCACTATTTGATCCAGAAGTTTCAATTAAGTGCCTTAACCTCATGATGAAGAACATAATCTCCAATAATGTAATCCTTTGCCTTCCTAGTGCCAGTTGGTCACAAGAGACAATGCACAGCATTTGCACATTTTCAGCATGATACCGTCAGCAGCTGGATTTCCATATTTACTCAGATTTCCATATTTACTGTTGTTTCTTCTATGTTTTCTTTTGGGATTTTTTCTGTTTGGTTGTTTTCTTTCAAACTTGACTCTTGTTTTCTAGGTAATCTATCCTAGCCTCCACTCAAAAAGATGAGTTGTCATGCTGGATTTAAAATCAGCATYGAAATGCAGGCAAATCTTGGATAAWTTGTGAGGAGGAAAAGCCTGCACATTTTGCAAAGAGTACAGTCTCATGAGCTGCTGCTAGCTGCATGTTTTCTARAAGGGCTTAGTGACTTATATTCAGCATTTGATTAAGACTTGCTCTGTGCATTTGTGCCATATTGAATACAAGCTGATAAAGTTCTTGGGATATAAAGCCTTCAAAAGGGTRATGCACAGAGGCTCAGTAGCTCTCTAGTTTTAGACTGATGTGGCTCAGATGATTTCCTCCATCCCAGCACAGTAGAGCAACACCCAGCATGCCCTGTCCCTATGCCAGGACTTCTGCATTTCCATGGGGCATGGACTGCACTCCAGAGAATGAGCTYAGAGAATGTGTAGGAGAGTGAACTGGAGTCAGTGCTGATGATAGCGGGTTGGTTGTGGCATGCTGTGATTTTCTGTAAGCACAGCCTGCCAGGACTTTGGTGTCAGAGCTAGGTAGTTATTCATCACTAAAGGWATTGAATAATAACGATATAAATGGCCTGAGAACCATTCATTGGCCAGTCTTAGGAGGGGAGAGCTGCACATGYAGTGGTAYTTGAGCCCATCTAAATAAAAGATAGCTGGCACAGTAATTCCATGACTGACTTTCTGTAATTTACTCCCTAATGGCCAAATCAAATMATTTTGCCCAATGTGCTGCRCTATGAAAAGCCAGCGAAGAGAGCAGAAGATAGGATTTAATATGCTCTTGGAAGTCTGCATTGCTAAGGAGTCATGCTGCAGCTTTCTCCACTATCTGGATTTTTTATAATAGGTAGTGACTAGAGTTCGATTTTAAAACAAACAAACAAACAAAACATCACACACACACACACAAACAAAAACCAACAAAACAAACAAAAAAAGGCAAGAAAACAGTCCTTTGTTAAGGGGTGGGATAAAAAGCAGACACATTAAGTGTCACAGAGGATGGTGTGTGAGCAAATAAGTCCCTACCCAAGCTTCTCGCAGGCCCATCACAGGAGCCCTCAGCCCRTCCAAGCCCTGTTCTCAGCAGCCACAGAGGAGGACATGGGCACAGGGCAGGTGGGAACCCAAGCTAAGGATCACAGGGACACCCTGGGTGAGCCCCTCCCTGGGCTGTTGTGCGAGTGCCTCAGCCCAGGTGTGAGATCCATCAACATGAGCTGATGGGGTGCTCTTACATCCACCTTTGAGACCACGGGATGTTTCTGCCTGGGACCGCACARTACATTCTGTATGGGCATTTTGGGATTGCACAAGGTTTGTGGGATGTTTAGTAGAGGAAAAAAAGTGGTGAAAGAAATGCATGTAGGGGACTTGAGGAGGAACAGATGAAGGAAAATAGAGGGATAAAAGGATAAAAAAGGCTGGTCAAGTGGACCATGTGTTCAAAGCCAGCTACTGCAGAAACTACAATGTATATGTGTTTGTGTGACTGCAGTGGGGTTGCAGTTTCAGAGGCTCAGATATCCAGATGCCACCAGCTGGGAAGACTAGAATCCACAAGCCAGGTACTGGACAGACTGTCTGAGCTCAACTGCTGATGGGATACATTGAACATGTGTTTGTATTTCCCACTAAAGAATCTCCATATTGATCAGCCAGGGAAGGGAAACAGGGTGAGGCCATTGGAGCTGTGTT